CATGATTCAATTACCTCCATGTGGTCCCTCCCATGATATGTGGGAATTAGGAGAACAACAATTCAAGATGAGATTTGGGTGAGGACACAGCCAAAGCATATCATTTGGCCCCAGCCCCTCCAAAATCTCATGATCTCACATTTCAAACACAATCATGCCTTTCCAACAGTCCCCCAAAGTCTTAACTGATTCCAGCATTAACCCAAAAGTCCCAAGTTCAAAGTCTTATCTGAGACAAAGCAAGTTCCTTCTGCTTATAAGCCTGTAAAATCAAAAGCAAGCTAGTTACTTCCTAGATACAATGTGGGTACAGGCATTGGGTAAATATACCTGGTCCAAATGAGAGAAATTGGCCAAAACAAAGGTGGTACAGACCCTATGCAAGTCTGAAATCCAAGAGAGCCGTCATTAAACCTTAAAGTTTAAAAATGATCTCCTTAGACTCCATGTCTCATATCCACGGTGTGCTGATGCAAGAGGTGGGCTCCCATGACCTTGTCAGCTCCACCCCTGTGACTTTGCAGGGTATAGTTCCCCTCCTGGCTGCTTTCATAGGCTGGCATTGAATGTCTGCAGCTTTTCCATGTGCACAGTGCAAACTATTGGTGGGTCCACCATTGTGAGGTCTGGTGGCTAGTCACCCTCTTCTCACAGCTCCACCAGGCAGTGCCCCAGTGGGGACTCTTGTGTGGCTGCTCCGACCTCACATTTCCCTTCTACACTGCTCTAGCAGGGGTTCTCCCTGGGGGCTCTACACTTGTAGCAAACTTCTGCCTGGACATACAGGTGTTTCCATACATCCTCTGAAATCTAGGTGCAGGTTCCCAAACCTCAATTCTTGGCTTCTGTGGACCCACAGGCTCAACACCTACATATAACCTGCCAATGTTTGGGGCTTGCACCCTCTTAAGCAATGACCTGAACTGTACATTGGCCCCGTTTAACCACGGCTGGAGCTGAAGCAGCTGGGACACAGGATACCATGTCCCAAGGCTGCAGAGAGCAAGACAGCCCTGGGTCTGGTCCAGGAAACCATTTTTTCTCTCCCAGGCCTCCAGGCTTGTGATGGGAGGTTCCTGTGAAGGTCTCTCACATACCCTGGAGACATTTTGCCATTGTTTTGGTGATTAACATTTGGCTCCTCATTACTTATGCAAATTTCTGCAGCCAGCTTGAATTTCTCACCAGAAAATGGAGTTTTCTTTTCTATTGTGTCATCAGGCTGCAAAATGTCTGAACTTTTATATTCTGCTTCCTCTTGAATGCTCTGCTGCTTAGAAATTTCCACCAGATACCATAAATAATCTCTCTCAAGTTCAAAGTTCCACAGATTTTTAGGGAAGGGGCAACATGCTGCCAGTCTCTTTGCATAGTAAGAGTGACCTTTACTCCAGTTCTCAACAAGTTCCTCATCTCCATCTTAGACCACCTCAGCCTGGACTTCATTGTCCATATCACTATCAGTATTTTGGTCAAACCCATTCAACAAGTCTCTAGGAAGTTCCAAACTTTCCAACATCTTCTTGCCTTCTGAATCCTCCAAATGGTTCCAACTCCTGCCTGTTACACAGTTCCAAAGTTGCTTCCATATTTTTGGGTATCTTTACAGTAGTGCCTCACTCTCTGCAGTACCAATTTTCTGTATTAGCTAGGCCACATTGGCTCATACCTGTAATCCCAGTAATTTGGGAAGGAGAGGTGGATGGATCACTTGAGGTCAGGAGTTTGAGTCCAGCCTGGCCAACGTGGTGAAAATACAAAATATAAAAATCAGCTGGGTGTGGTGGTATGTACCTATAATTCCTGCTACTTGGGAGGCTGAGGCAGGAGAATCGCTTGAACCTGGGAGGTGGAAGATGCAGTGAGCTGAGATTATGCCACTGCACTCCAGCCTGGGTGAGAGAACGAGACTCTGCCTCAAAAAAAAAAAAAATACTGTATTAGCCTGTTCTTACACTGTTATGAAGAAATCCCGAGACTGGGTAATTTATAAAGAAAAGAGGTTTAATTGATTCATACTTCTGCATGGCTGAGGAAGCCTCAGCAAACTTACGATCATGGTGGAGGGCATCTCTTTACAGAGTGGCAGGAGAGAGAATGAGAGATGAGCAAAGAAGGAAAAGCCCCTTATAAAACCATCACCCCCACAATTAAATTACCTCCCACTGCATCCCTCCCACAACATGCGGGGATTATGAGAACTACAATTCAAGATGAGATCTGGGTAGGCACACAGCCAAACTATATCAGTTACTTTGTTGATTTTCTGTCTAGATAATCTGTCTAATGTTATGAGTGGGGTGTTGAAGTCTCCCACTATTATTGTATTGCAATCTACCTCTGTCTTTACACATATTAATTTTTTAAAATGAACTGGTTGCTCCAGTGCTGAGTGTGTACATATTTACAATTGTTACAGTCTCTTGCTGAACTGATCCCTTTTTCATTATAAAGTGAACTTGTTTGTTGTTGTTTTTTACTGTTTTTGACTTAAACTGTTTTACTGAATATCACTATAGCTACTTCTGCTTGCTTTTGGTTTCTGTTGGCCTGGAATATCTTTTTCCACCTCTTTACTTGCAGTCTATATGTTTTTTTTTTTTTTTTTTTTTTTTTTTTGAGACGGAGTTTCGCTCTTGTTACCCAGGCTGGAGTGCAATGGCGCGATCTCGGCTCACCGCAACCTCCGCCTCCTGGGTTCAGGCAATTCTCCTGCCTCAGCCTCCTGAGTAGCTGGGATTATAGGCACGCGCCACCATGCCCAGCTAATTTTTTGTATTTTTGGTAGAGACGGGGTTTCACCATGTTGACCAGGTTGGTCTCGATCTCTCGACCTTGTGATCCACCCGCCTCGGCCTCCCAAAGTGCTGGGATTACAGGCTTGAGCCACCGCGCCCGGCCCAGTCTATATGTTTTTACAGGTTAAGGTAAGTTTCTTATTAGGAGCATATAGTTGGATCATGTTTTTTTTTTTGTTGTTGTTTTTTTTTAAAGAAATCCATTCAGCCCATCTATAGCTTTTATGTTGAACATTTCATCCATATATGTTTAAAGTTATTATTGATATGTGACGTTTTGTTCCTTTTGTCATATTGTTAATTGTTTTCTGGTTATTTTATATATTATCTGTTTCTTTTTCTCTTACTATTTGTCATTGTGGATTGGTGGAATTCTGTTGTGGTGCCATTTGGTTCATTTCTCTTCCTCCTTTGTGTGATTGCTTTAACAGTGAGTTTTATACTTTCATGTGTTTTCATGATGCTAAATGCCATCTTTTGGCTTCCAAGTTGAGGATTTGTTTGAACATTTCTTGCAGGACAAGGCTAGTTTGCTTGTTTGGGAAAGACTATTTAACCTTAATTTTGAAGGTTAATTTTGCTGGATATAGAATTCTTGGCTGATAGTGTTTTCTTCCAGCACTTTGAATCATCATCCCATTCTTCCTGGCCTGTCAGGTTTCTGCTGAGAAATACAATTACCAGTCTGATGGGTTTTCCCTCAAAGTTGATGTTTTTCTCTTGCTGTTTTTAGAATTCACTCTTTGACTTTGGATAGTGCTGTAGTGAAACCTTTTTTTTTTGTTTTTGTTGTTGTTGTTGTTGTTGTTGTTTGCATTGTATTTGTTTGGGGAATCACTGTGCCTTTTATATCTGGATGTTTAAATCTCTTGCTAGACTTGCAAAGTTTTCATCTATTGTTGCATTAAATAGGTTTTCTAAACCTTCTGATCTTTATGTCCTTGGGGATACCAATAATTCAAATATTCAGTTGCTTTATGTTATCCCAAATGTCTTAAAGGCTTTGTTTATTCTTTTTTATTTTTGTCTAACTGGACTGTTTCAGACCTGTATTCAAGTTCTAAAATTTTTTTGTTCTACTTAGTCTAGTCTATTGTTAAACCTTTGAATATATTTTGCATTTCCTTCAATAAATTCTTCAATTTCAGAATTTAAGTTAGAGTTCTTTAAAAATAAAAATCTATCTCCTTGAATAATTTTTCATTTATATCCTCAATTGTTTCACTGAGTTCTTTGCATTGGTTTTCAGATTTCTCTTGCACTTCACTGACCATATTTAAAAACCAATATTTTAAATTCCTCACCTGAGACCTCAAGAATTTCATTTTGGTTATGATCTATTGCTGAAGAATTGTTGTGTTCATTCTGGGGTGTCATATTTCCTTGTTTTTTGTGTTTCCTGTGAGACTCTGAATTTCTATCAAGTTTCCAGTTGATGCCAATATTGCTGATACCACACAGCCTTTTCAACCAGGATTCATTATCTAAGTCACAGAACACAGAGAATGTTTTGAGGGCCTCTTTTCTCAATTTTCCCAAAGATGGTACACAACCAGAACCATTCTAGATACAAAGCAGGACACTGATTCCTTATATGCAATTAGTGCCTTTGATTTAGGGCTTAATCTTTTTTTGAGGAAACTTGGTTGAGAAAGCTGTCTTTGTAAAGCTGCTAAAGAGAAATATAGGCTCAGACTCTGAAAAAACTAGCTTTATAGAGAAAACTATACCATTACTATCTTTAATTATAATTAGTCTTTTGTAATATATCACTGATAATGAAATAATTGGACTAACAGTGTTTTAGTCTATGATATAGACTATTAATATAGACTATTCATAATATAGACGATGAAATAGACTGTTCACCTATTAATTCAGTAATTATTTGTTAAGTACCTGCTTCTGTTAAGCACTGTGATGCTGAAAACATTTGAAGAATAAATAATGAAATAATTATTCATAACTTTCAAGCACTTTCTTCCTGTTGATCATTGTTAAACTTAAGTGAAATATCTGTACATGACTCAGATACTTTAGAAAAAAATTCTCATAAAAAATCCCAGACCACTTAAAAAGATTTAATAAGTTATTTGTGATGTCTCCTCACATAATTCTCACAATTCTGGGGATAGCCTAATAATTGCTAGCTGTTGACAGAGGTAAGAAATAGCCAAATCCAATAGCTTCAAAAGACCATACCTCAAATGCATGATTGTTATAGAAGCGGTCGTCTACCTTACTCCCCCATTCTGCTGGATCAAAGTTGGTTTCTAAATAATAAAAATATAATAACTTCAGATTTATTTGAATGCATTAAGGTAAATAGTAGAATAGTAACACAAATATAAGTTTCTTATTTCAAATTACAGGTTCTTTACTGACAGCCCAAATGTTGACATTGTACATAGCCTAGCACTGCAGACATTACTAGTGATTATTAAATATACAATTACCAATTGAACATTGGATGAGCCTTTGGGGATATTTAGAAAAGCACTAAAAACATAATTTCTGCCTTAATAGAATTTATAATAAAATGGGAGAAAGAAAAAATGCCAGTACTTAAATATAAATGTTGACACTTAGAACATGCATTAGTAAACACAGAAAAATGTATAAAACTAAATGCTAACTTGTCAGAAAGTTTGGAAAAGTGAAGGATGAAAGAAACTTTAAAAAATAATATGTAGACAGTTGACATAGACAAAGACAGGTATTTATTTTTAAACAATTTTTTTCTTTAACTTTATAGTATGAAAAATTTCAAACTTAGAAAGTATATAGGATAATAAGCTCCCATGTGCATATTGTCTAGATTCAATGATCAACCCATGATTTACTTTGTTTCATCTATAACCCTTTCTTCTGATTATTTCTAAACCAACCCCTTGCATCCTGTTATTTTATCTGCAATTACTTATTTCAGAATGTATCTCAATATATACTTTTAAAATATAACCACACCATTATCATACTTCAAAATACTAATAATATTAATAATTCCTCAATATTATCAATTAGTTAGTCAACTATCCAAATTTCTTCCATTGTCTTATTTGTTGGTTCAAATCAGGATCCGCAAAATGGGGATGCACAGCCCTTTGTTACGTCTTTTAAATTTCTTTTAAAGATCCCTCTGTCCGATTCTTTCCTTGCAATTTATTTGTTGATGAAATTAGGTGATTTTCCCTTTGGAGTTTTTCATAGTTCAGATGTTTCTGACTATCCCCACGGTGGCCTTTAAAAAATTCTTCTGCCTTTCAATTTCCTGTAGACTGGTAGGTAGATGTATAGGTTTGATCTGATTTGGGTTTGATGGTTTGATTTTTTTCAGCCAGTATACTTGATTGGTAGTGCTGTGTAATTCTGTCATAAAATTTATAATACGTAGTTACTCTTTTATAATTTTCATGGGCCCCATGATGATCCTTGCTTAGATCATTTTTTTAGGGGTTGTGAAATGGTAATGCTCTAATTTGATCAATACTTATTTATTTTCTGGAGTACTCATTAAGGAGAACTTTTCCTCATCAACTGTTTGGTTACTCTGAAGAACAGTTCTTACAGGAAAGAAAGGTTAAAGGTTTAGTTCTTTCCTTTTATTTACCAGTTTTCAGAATAATCTGTCGAATTCCTAGAATCCTTTCAAGATGACAAATGAATGTTTTTTTTTTTTTTTAACAACCACAAATTCACAAATGTTTAAGAAAATGGATGCATTTCAATCCAATGCACATATTATTCTTATTATTGATGCTCTATTTGTTAAACATTTGTCCAGTGGTAGCTTACTCAGGTGCTCAAATGTTCCTGAGTCCCTTGGAAACACCTCTAGTAATCTTTGATAGCATCCTTCTTTTCTGGTATGGCAAGATGTTCAGCCTAATCTTGTATATTTCTTGCCAAGTTCATGAAATTAGTTTGTTCTCCAAGAAGCTTTCATTCCTGGGAATGGTATTTAGAGATGACAGCCTAGAAGCTAGGTGCTCACTGGTACTGGGTTGGTCATTGTTTTGAGGCCTTTAAGTACAAAGCCAGAAAATATTTCTTTCATTTTTCAAAGAGAGAAAACATGAGGTCACACTGATATTTTTCAACTCAAATTTAGGATTCCAGGATTTTATTAACCTCTTTCATTTTCTTACTTGAATGTCATTTTTCCTGTACTAAAAATCTTATTCCTAATAACACTAGTTTAGTTGCTAACTTGCTTTGTTCTACAATATATAATTTCATTTTGCTTTTAGGATAAAGGCACTAGGCATGCACAGTCAAATTACTGCATTTTAATATCACTTGAAATAATTCCTTTTGGTGTGTGTATGTCAGTCAATACTAGTTAGGCTCATGTTTCACTTTGCTTTTACAGTTTAGAAATTGCTTAACAATTTTTAGATTTAAAATTATAACTATGCTAAACTTTTATGACTCCAAATTAAAGATATTTTATATCATGTTCCCTCTACCGTGCTCATTTTCTCCTAAAGGTAAATGTTAAGTTTTTAAAGACTTACTTATCCATTTAAAAATATAATTGAAGCCAGGTGTGGTGGCTCACTCCTGTAATCCCAGCACTTTAGGAGGCCAAGGCTGGCTGATTGCTTGAGTTCAGGAGTTCGAGACCAGCCTGGGCAACATGGTGAAACCCTATCTCTACAAACAAAACAAAACAAAAATTAGCCCAGTGTGGTTGTGTATGCCTATAGTTGCAGCTACTTGGGAGGCTGAGGTGGGAGGACTGCTTGAGCCTGGGAGTTTGCAGTGGAGCCACAATTGTACAACTGCACGCCAGGAATTTGAGAACAGTCTGGATAATATAGTGAGATCCCCGTCTCTATTAAAAAAAAAATAGTAGCACATTAAGCACACTTTTTCTCATCTTGCTGTTTTCACTGAATATATCCTGAAAGTTACTTCATAGTATCACCTATAGTATCATCAAGCGATCTTTCTTATTTTTGAAAACAGTAATATATATTATTCAGTTGTGCAGATGTACTATAGTTTGTTCACTTAATCTCTTATTATGGATATCTGGGTTGTTTCTACAAAGAATAATGCACTGAAAAATGTAGAAGTGGAACTTCTGGGTCAAAGGTTAAATACATACATAATTTTGGTAGGTATTGCTAAGTTTCCCTCCTTGAAATTATGGCATTTTGCTTATCCAACGGCAATGTATATAAATGCTTATTATCCCACAGCATTGCCTAGAGAGTATGTTGAGTTTTTGCCAATATAATGGAGGGATTGCTATTGGTAGCTCAGTGCAGTTTTGATTTGGACTTCTATTATTATGAATTATGAATTGGTTTGAATATATTTTTGTAAGTGCCATTTGCATTCATTTTTGTGTGAATTGTTTGCTCATATCTCTTGCCAACTTTTCCTATTGGGCTCTATAAGCCTATAACACACTGTTTTGTTTTTCTTTCAAACTATTTATTAGGGATATTAACCCACTGGGATATAAACTGCAAATATTTTTTCTGTTTGTCTTTTGCAGTTTTGTTTTCCTCACAGTGCTTTTTCTCATGTAAAAGTTTGCTTCTATGTTGTCAAATTATAACAATATTTTCCCTAATTGCTTCCGAATTTTTGAAGCAACTAAAGCAATTTAGCTAGCAAAACTTTTTCTTCTCTTATAGAGAGATTCATCCATATTTATCCGTACAGTTTCTTTTAAAAAATATTTATATACTCGACTAATTTGGAATTTGTCCTTGTGTATAATATAAGAAATTGATCCAATTTTATCTTTTTCCTTTTTTATCTCAAAATAATTTAATAAGTCCATCTTTTTTTCTAGTGACCTGAAATACCACTTAAATCATATACTAACATGTTTCCTGTCACAAAAATAAAAATGAAGACTAGTAACCACCTATGATGAATGCTGGCAAGAGAATTCTTGCACTGTGTGGGAGACTGAGCTAGTGGTCTATAACGATTTTTTTTTTTTCATTTCTGAAGAGACTGAATTCTGAAACTTATATCATATAGATAATTTGCCCTTGGTTGACATGGGTGTAATTGGGTGTGGTACAATTTTTTCAAATGGTTTTACCCATTGTTTATTAGAGAGCTAATGTCCTGAGACCATTAATCTGAATCATTTGCTTTAATTACTGTGATCTGATAATAATGATGCAAATGTTTTTATGATGGGATGTTTCTGAGTTCTAAAATTAAATAAATGACTAAAGACTTTTTACTGCATGAATTTGTAGTTAATCTTGTAATAAAACTAATGTTCATTAAAATTCACCTCTTTTTCCAAAGAATTTTATTTTTTTTCCCCCTTCCAACTTTTATTTTAGTTCAAGGGATGCACATGCAGATTTGTTACACGGGTAAACTCTATGTCGAGGGGCTTTGGTGTGGAGACAATTTTTGTCACCATGGTAATCAGCATAATGATTGACAGGTAGTTTTTCAATCTTCACCCGCCTCCTACCTCTACCCTCAATAGGCCCCAGAATCTATTGCCACACAATTTCTCTTAATAACATTCCTTTTCTATATATAGTTTATCAAATGTTTTCAGTGGAAAATATTTAAAGTGTCAGATTGTGCAACAAATATTCACACTGACCGGATATGGAAAAGACCAGCAACATTCAGGAAATTGGCAGAGATTCTGAGCTCTTCCAGGGCAGGGCAAAAAAAGCAAGCGGGTGGAGCTATGAAGTGTGTATGGGAGTTGCTTTAATTCTACCCGTGTGCTAGGTTTTCTTCCACTATAAAATGATTACAATAGAATGTTTGTTTGCTTGTGCCTATTTCTAGTCACCTTTACCACTCCATTGGAATACTGTAATAAAAAGTAACGATGACAAGAGTTTACACAAAATGGATGTTCTAATCAAGAATGGCTCTCCGGGGGTTGGGGCGGGGGTCGTGGGAGTGGGGAAAGGGATTCACTTTGTTGCCCAGGATGGAGTGCAGTGGCTATTCGCAGGTGTAATCATAGCTTACTACTGTTCTGCACCCCTGGGCTCAAGTGATCCTCCTGCTTCAGCCCCTGAGTAGCTGGTACTAAAGGTGTGCACCACCATGCCTGGCTAAGGATAGGTTTTTAGAACAAAACTGGTCAAGTCCTGACAGTCATAAACCTTCATGGTTAGGGATTTAGAAATTTTATTTATGGGAGTGAAGGGACTTTGCTTTGGCTTTCAACCAAAGAGTTATTGTTAGTGGGGATCTTGGCATCTGTGCAGGATGGGACTTAGCATAAAGAATAGAAATTACCTTTCCAGGCTGGTAGTCCAGCTTTCAAAGCAGTTTGTCTGTGCCTTTGCTGCAGAACAGTTTCATATACCCCAGTGAATATCAGTTTATTTAAGGACTGCAGAATTCTTTTTGCAGCACTTATAATACTTTCAAATTAAAGGAATCAAAATGGAAAGGAAACCACAGACAACCATCTCAGGAATAATAGTCAACTGCCAGGGAGACACGGGAACAGTGTGCTGGAATGTGGTGAGGGTAGACTGATGATCTTGTGTCCCCCCCCGCCCCCCCAGATTTCGCCAGAGAAATGTATGCTCTTTTGAAGTTACCTTCCACACTGTATGTCTGTGAGAAATACAATGAAGGTCTGAATAATGAACTGGTAATCTTCCATAATGTGAAACTAATTTAAGGGAACACATCACAGAGGTACATACTGTTTCAAAGAGCAAGAACTGTTATCTGAAACTCCTTGCCTCATAAACGCTTTCTGCAGAATGGAGATGGTCTTAAGCTAGTTTTACCATAAACAAAGGCTTAGTCTCCTATTTTAAAAAGTGACTACTTTTAGAAAGCTTACTCTCTCTTTTCTCTAGAAGGCTCTCAAAATATGCTGCTGCAAAAGCTGGTATATTGTCCGGTTGTTCTCTCAGAATCTCGCGTGTCAGCCCTTCAAGAAGATTCCCAAATCCTTGCGGAATTCGATAGTGGGTGTTGGAGAATGGAATCGACATCTTCTTGGTAAGAACTGCCTATGGAACCTAAAGATTCATTAAAGAGTATTGCCTTTAAATTTGTCTGATTTTACTTATATAACCACAGCTATGCCAACGAATTATTTCTGAGACCCACATTTTTTGGACTTGAATTCTTTTTTTCCCCAACACAATCCAAGTCCATTCATTTCTTCCAAAGAGTTCTGAATTCTGCATTATGAATTAGAATAATACAAACACAGGCCCATTCACTAGGGCAAATCGTTTTTTTAAACACTACAAAAAAATCACAATTTCAATATGACTTTTTCTCTCTTTACTGTTTTGGTAATCTCAAAAGATAGGGGTAAATTTTTACTATCACACAGGAAGTTAGAATGATTGTTAAAAAGTTAAATTGAATTCATTATCAATTTCTGAGAATACCCTCTTTGAAGTGTATATATATATTTTAATTAAAGAGTAGAAATTAGTCCTGGTTCTAGAAATCAATTTGTTGAATGAAGAAGTTGCACAATCTTTCCCTTTGCTGCCACTTCTGAAGCATGACCCCATAATGCTTTGAACACCTTTGTGCTGTGGAATGGGGTTGTGTGTGCCTAGGTGTGAGGGAGGACGGGATGGGATGGGGATGTGTCATTATTTTGAAATCCCAGCCTCTAAAGTTTTGGGATTCTTATACTTTCCAGTTTCTTCTTGACCAGACTATCTCTTCCTGTCTTGGAATACAAGGGCTAGATTAAGGGTAGCTGCTAAGTAGAGGGTTGAGCTACTGAGTATGAAAAGAATCCTCAGGGACTCGGCCTGTTAATGTGAAGAATAGGGACAGAGGCCATGGTAGGGGTCCAGGTTAGGGGAACTGGACGGTTTAATGAGGCTCAGTCTATGGAGGGTTCTCGTTTCATCGTTTTTTTTTTTTTCTTTGAGACAGCGTCTCTGGCCTCGAACTCCTGGGCTCCAGCGGTGTTCCCGCCTCAGCCTCCCGAGCAACTGGGATTACAAACGCGCGCGACAACGCCGGGCTCCTCTCTTTTGCTTTTTCTGAGATAGCAGGAGATGGGGGTATTGAATCATTCTAGGGCGGTGAAAAGGGCTGGCGAGACTGTGAACCAATGTGGGCAGAGGAGGGAGGGCGGAGGGGGCAGACCCGTCTAGTCGAGGGCAAGACGTTGAGGACCCGGGATTTCAGACTCGCGCAGAATGGGCTGCCTCTAGGCTGTGTCTGGGATGCCGAGCGACTACGAGAGACCAAGGGAAAAGGCGAAGTTTTGGTGTCGGAGAGGAAGTAGGGAAGCGGCCTCACCTTTCTCTCCAAGCTGGTGCCGCTAGTTCCGGTTGTTTTTCTCGTTGCTAGGTAACCGTTTTTCCTTAAAAAAACACAAACACAAAAACTACGGCGGCCGGGAAGGGGCGAGCACGGCCCCGCCCTGCGGTCGCTGGAGGGTCGGAGGACTGCAGGGCCTAAAGAGGGTGGAGCCGGCCTCGCCTCCGCCCAGGCCCCGCCCTTCCCAGGCCCCGCCCCCGCCCCCGCCCCCGCCCCAGCCAGGAGTACGCCTTCCCAGACCCTGGCGGCGGGCAGATCCTCGCAAGTATGGTCACGCCGGGGCTTGTAGTCGGGCTGGTGCTGCAGTCAATCCTGTGGGCCGACAAAAGTGCAGGTGAGGCGGCCCGGCTCGGCCGGACCCCTGCCCCTCAGCCTGTGCGGGCTCCGAGACTCCGCGTCCCTTCCGGGACACGGAGCAGAGCCCCTTTCTCAAAGGTAGACGAAGGAACCTAGCTTGGCTAGGGACTCTCATTTCCGACCTAGGCCTGGTCTGCAGGGATCCGCTGGGTTGGACCCCGGCCTCTCCGCTTTCTCCACTCCCACTCACCATCCCTAACATACGGCCTGTGAGCAAGGAGAAAGTGCTGTGGGAGGCCCAAATGTGCCCAGAAAGAGACCTTCGGGGTCCTGGAGTAACTGCAGAGGAGCTCAGGGAAGGGGGCGAAGCTAGTTAGATAATATTTGGAAACAGGTGACTGAATCATCCAAAACATTTCAGCGCTGCCCACTCAGTGGTGCCCTTGGGGAGAGTTTGCTTCAGGCGGGGTTCCGTGGGGGAATTAAATTTTACTAGTTTAAGTGGTTATTAGGGCTGAGAAGCACAACCTCCTCACTAGCTCAGACTATTTAAGGCTCAGTTTTGATTTCTGATGCAACTTACAGATATTGGTGGTGGGATAATATGAGTGGCATAGAGGAGGAGGGTGGCTCGATTTGGCCATTGTGCAGGTTAGATCTTGCCATTGGAATACCCTAGGCTGGACACTGGGTCACAGTATGGAGGAAGCAGAAGATGGAATCTATCTGCTAATGCAAACTAAAGTGATAATGTTGGTTTTCTTCCTTTCTTTTTCAAAACACTCAAAGAGTGGACCCTGGAGATATTAAGAAATGAAAATTGGGGCAGGAGAACAGCTTGCAGAAAAATGTCTGCTGCTCTACCTGAGAGCCAGAAAAATACCTAGATTCTGACAAACTGCAGCCCATAAAAGATTGTTCAGAGTTTAACAAAAGTGCAAACTGCTGGCACTCTGTATCCCATTTGCTGACTCTTACCTCCTCTCAGTGACCTTTGAGATCCATCAAATGAGGTGGGGAGGTTTTTAGTTAAAAGCTATTTATTTTAGTGTCAGTATTTTATCTCCTCCTTTGGGTCTTACTGTTGTATCACCTTCATTAATTACATTTTTCATTCATTAGTACTCTACCTTGTTGCATATCCTGACATCTTTCCTTTAAGGCATTCCTCCTGTGCCCATGTTTATTTACCATGTAATACTTGAGGTGCATGAACTTATATGTAACAATGACACAATAAAATAAACACCCATGAGAGCAGCACCCAACTTAAGAACTAGAACATTGTCAGTCTATTCAGCCTGCCATTGTGCCCCTTGCCAGTGCATCCACAGTTCCTCACCAGAGGTAACTACTGTCCTAATTGTGTTATTCCACTTTTAATGATGGGCTCTTCTCCAAAATACTAATTCCTGTTTTTCTACTCCAGCCCTAAATGAAGGAAAAAACTGAAGACCTGAAAAATCCAAATGTTGGCTCGTGCCTGTAATCCCAGCACTTTGGGAGGCTGAGGTGGGCAGATCACTTGAGGTCAGGCGTTCAAGACCAGCCTGGCCAACATGGCGAAACTTTGTCTCTACTAAAAAAAAAAAAAAAAAAAATTAGCCAGGTGTGGTGGTGGGTGCCTATAATCCCAGCTACTCAGGAGGCTGAGGCAGGAGAATCACTTGAACCCAGGAGGTGGAAGTTGCGGTGACCTGAGATTGGGCCACTGCATTCCAGTCTGGGCAACAGAGCAAGACTGTCTCAAACAAACAAACAAAATCAAATGTTAAATGTATGTGTCTTGTGTTTGACACAAAGAATGATCAGCCTTGCTCTCTTTCTCATTCTCTCTCTCTCTCTGTTTTTTGTCCATTGCTCAGTTCCTTGATATTCCACTGTCTACTCTAATGAGCTTAACATTTAAGCTTTTCAGGGACAAGAAATATGACTTTTCTTTGATTTGCCACGAATATCTAATTTTGGTAAAGTGGGAATTTCAAGTTTGAAATCAAGTGACTTGTTTTCTAACTTTGTCATAAGCTATGTGATTTGAGACCAAAGAACATTAATGTTTGTGGTGAGTTTAGTACCATGCCTGCCACAGGTAAAGTCTCCAGTAGAATGGAAGCTCCCTGTGGGCAAGGATTTTTGTCTGTTACTATTATTATTTTTTCATTGTTATATCCCCAGTGCTTAAAATAGTAGGCATCAATAAATATTTGTTAAATTAACTGATGAACATGCAAGCTATTTTAAAAAATCTGCTTTGGTCTCAGTTTCTTGATGAGTAATATGATACTACTACTTGATCAGTAAATAACATGTTTATACCACAACTATGAAGATCCTTTCTACCTCTAAAACTCTTTAGCCCCCACATCATCCACAAAGATGTTCACTAAGTGTATGTTGGTGAAAACGGACTGACTTGGAAAGGTATTTCCCCTAGCCTATGTGCTACTGACTGCATGCAAATATGCAAGCTGCAACCGGTTTTCTTCACTCCATTCCCCTACCCCCACCCTCACTCTGCTCAGCTCTTATTTATGTCTGTGGTTTTCCTTTTTTTGGTTCCATATGAAGCACCTACCCAAGACAAGGCCCTCCCACACATGTGCCTCCCCCTTCCCCCCAGCAGGCTGCCAACCTGCTTATGCAATTCTGGGGCGTTGTATTCTTTTCTTAGAGCATTTTGCTCATGGTAACTGTGCAACTCCAGCCCAGTAGGCCTTCTGGGTGATCTTTCATTGTCATGTAGGTTTCATGATCATACTAACTCATGAGAGAGAGCTGAGAATTTTTAGGGACTGGGCTGTTATTCCAAGAGCAGGAGAAATAGGCCACAGAGCTGTGTAGGCGACTGCATTAGCTGTGCTGCCCTGTTAAGTATAGCCGAAGGGGCCCTCATCATTTGTAGCTTCCAGTGAGGAAAATGGCAGCCTTGTGAATTCTGATTCTCTTTTCTGCCTATCATTTTTTTAAAATGCTTAAAAAATCTTAATTTAATTAATTAATTTTCTTTTAGGTATTTTGGGGTCTGTTTAGACAAATTGGGATGTAACTTGTTTTTTTCCTTGTTAAGTTTTGATGAGGAATGCACTGAGATAATTTGGATGGGTGTTTGTTATTAATAAAATACTTCTATATAGGCTGGATGTTAAAAATAGGAATGATCTCGTTAAAGTAAGTTCTTATTCAGACTTGTTAGTGACTCTCTAGAATAGAATCCAGTTTCTAGTGTGCTTTCTCTTGTCCTTTTTGTATAATTTAGGTTGCGGAATGGGTAAAATTGTGACAAAAGACCTTTGTTCAGACACATTGACCTTCTGTCTCTCACTGACCTTATTTTTATGTCTCGATTTATCTGAATTTACCTGAGAAGGAAGCTGACTTATCATGAATATTTATAAAGGCTTATTGAGAATTTTCGGTGCAGTACAGTGGGTTGTCAGAAAACCGTGATAAGGGACATTATTTGAAGGAAATTGGCATTAGTGGCATGGAAAAGGGGAGATAGAGAAGGGGGCAAAGATTAGGGAAGGCTGTTTGGAGAGGGGCATGTTGCTTTACTCCCAGCCATTAGGAGTGGGTGTGGTAATGGAAAAGTAGGGAAAGGCAGTAGTTTATTTTTTTCATAAACATCATCTGTAGGGTGCATGAAAGAAGCATTTTAGTGGTTTAGCGGGAGAGAGCTCAACGTTAGGGCCAAGCCTGAGAGCAAAGAAAGATCAAGAGCTCTGAAAGGGAAAGAAGACTGACGTTGGTTGCCTTGAGCTCTGAGAGTTTTCCTTAGTGGTCATTGTGTACTGTGATGCATACTGCTGGAAAGTGTTCTTGTTATGTTGCTTGCCTAATTAGGAGGAAGAAGATCTAGTTTTAGACGATCAAAAGGACTTAGCATGTTAAAATTCTCTTGCATAAAGACCGTATGTTCTTTGCTGTTTCACTCGATCTAGTTGGTGCTGAATCAGATGATGCTCCCCTCAGTGTTTGCTAAATTTTTTAGGTACTGGTTTTCGCTTTGCTTCATACATCAGTAATAACGTGGTACTGCAGAAGGAGCCTGCTGGGGCAGTGATATGGGGCTTCGGTACTCCTGGAGCCACAGTGACCGTGACCCTGTGCCAAGGTCAGGAAACCATCATGAAGAAAGTGACCAGTGTGAAAGGTAAGGCAGCCCATTTCTCTTCAGCTGTTGCCTTCTTCTGCCACCTGCTGGATTATTTGAAAATGAATGCTAATACTCCAGCTCATGTTATCCATCCCTCTGTCTGTACATCCGTCTGTCCGTTCATCCGTAAAAGTTATTTGAATATTTGCCATGTGCTGGGCACGGAGGTTACAAAGAAAAATAAGATGTATTCAAAGTTCCTGTTGTCAAGAAACTTATTGAGTAATGGATATAGATACCAAGTTATATAGGACAGTATGATGAATGCTGAGATGAAGGTACATGTGGGATGTCCTGGGGTACAGAGGAGAAACATTGAACTCAGACTGGGTGGTAAGGGAAGGTTTCCACAGAAGGTGATATTTGAGCTGAATTGTATATAAAGAAGAGACAGTGTGGAGGAAAGGGTAAGAGCCTAGGCGATGGAAGTGACTATATTCAGGTCCTGATTCTGTCATTTATATGGCTGTGTCATCTTGGATGTCTAATGTAACGTCTCCATGTCACAGTTTATATGCAAAGTGGAGGTCCTCACAATACCTACAGGATTGCTGTGAGAATGAAGTGAACTAACAGGTATAAAGTACTTGTAACAGTGCCTGGCACACAAGTGCAGAGTAGGTTTATAGCAGTCATGATTGTTACCGATACTATTATTAGTCAGTCATTCAAATATCTATTGAGAGCCTACTATGTGCTCCATACCGTACTAGGTACTGGTGATACAGTGATGAGTAAAACAGATATGGCCTCTCCCTTAATGAGGTGTGCAGGTTAGAAGGGAAGACAATAAGCAGTTACAGTTAAGTGTGGTAAGTGCCATAGTGAGGAAGAACAAGGTGCGATGGGAGTACTTCATAGAGAGTAGTCTGAGGCTCATCTCAAGAGGTGAGCAGGGCACACCGGCTAGTGAGAATAGCCTGGCAAAGGTGTGGAGGCCTGACTATGCCTGGGTCATGAGAGAGATGCCAGGCAGGTTGGTTGGTCTGGAACACTGTGGGTGTGTGGCTGGGCAGATGAGAGGAGATAGGTTGGAAAGGCTCGTTTGTCATTGTTAAGGAGCGTATGTTTTATTCTAAACTGACTGATTTTTAAACAGCAAAATAATAGGATCAGATATTTTAGAAAGCTTACTCTGGCAACCTGTGGAAGATGGATTGGAGATCAGTAAGATAGAGGTGGTGGGCCCTGTGGGCAGGCTGCTATGATATCCAAGCAGGAGATGATGAGGGCTTGACCTCATAGAGTGGTGTGAGGATGTTCAGGAAGGTGAGAATTAGCAGTTTTCATGAGCAGGGAGATCTTACAAAGGAGTATTCTTTGTCTAGAAGAGATGAAGATGTAGAAGACAGTGTGGAGGAGGTGAAGCTAGACGTTACGGGATGCAGGAAGGCATGCTCAGGGCTGGTTGTTGCAGAGAGCTCTACTACTGTGTGCACTGGAGGTGAGAATGAGACAGATGAGGAGGCTGCTCAGAGGTGGAGGTGGAGTTCAGGTACACATTGGTGGTTTGAGCAATGGCTAGCATATATATGTGACAGGGCTGCCTGTGGGAATTGTACTGGCCCCCGAAAGCAAGGATTGCCTGGTTAGTTTTATCAGTATATAGAACTGATGATTCAATCCAGAGTGATCCATACCCTGATGCAATCTGTTCAAAATTCATTTCCATTCAGCAAGCATTTAAAAATACTATGTGCCAGGCATAGATGTAAGGTAAGTGCTTCTCATTCTTGGGTTTTAAGACTTTTTAAGATAAGAATGTTGTTGGGTAAACTAAGAGACCTGAAAGTGAAGCTTCAGCCGATTGAGATGTGCTTCTCTGTTGAACTAAATGCTGTTGGTGACTTGCAGGATATCCTGAAAGTGAAGGATTCAAGGGACTCTCAGTGCTTTCTGTTTGCGCTGGGCCACCTTGGAAATGGAGCATTGTGTACAAATAATGGCACTCTCAGTAAATGATGCTGACTTAGAAATCCAAAGAACTGCTGTGATTTAAAAATAAGAAATGGGATTTACATGTTACTAACAATTAAGTTACCAATAAATATTTAGGCAACAGAGACAACATAGTGTTATAGAGATACATACAGAAAACACACAGTATTACATAGGGTTTCAGTTTTAAAAGTCCTTGTACGTTATTTTTTGAGTTTTTCTCCCTTCATGCCTGTTTCAGACCTAATATTTGAGGTGGGCAGAGATGAAGCAGGAGGCTAGGTGGAATGAAAGGTAATAAGTAGGAGAGGAGCCTCCCTTTTCCTTTACAGTGATTGTGAAACTGGTCATTTGTCTTGAGTTCAATTTGATAAGCACCGAGTGAGGGCTTGCTATGCCTAAAACACTGAACCAGAAACCCTAGGAAAGTAGAAAGAAGAATACCTATCTTTCAAATGTGCCCATCTTTCAAGAATTCACTCCCCGATTCCATCCTTTCACATTTAGTAATTTAGGCTCAGGTAATGCTCCAGCAACTTCACTGCAAAGGGATGTATTATTTGTAGTTAAAATAACCAGCAGCAACTTAACATAATTGAGTGATTCATGGATACTGATGATGATTTCACAAGAAAAGGGGTTGATGTTATTGGTGGTGGTGGTCGGGGGGACCTATTTACTAGACTTTCCTCATTTACTTGGTAGAAGAGGGCAAGGTATTTGAGTTTAGAGAGATCTGTAAAATTGCTTCAATGGGTATCCTACTTTGTTCTGCCCATGAAGCAAAACAGATGAAGTGTTAATTGGAATAAAGGAAGTAGACATGTAAGAAATTTCATAGGCAGAAAATATCTCTCAAAAGAGATACCACAGAGAATACTGGAGGGTGCATTTTTGGTTTAGATTTTAATGAGGACTCTGAGATTTTCAGCCACATTACCTCAATTTGCTGCTTTTTCTACCTCTGGTAATATTTAACTTATTACCCATAGTCCCCCAGGTACCTAGAACAAAGTAAGATATAACAGTATAAAGGCTTTTGTCTAGCAGACTGACACTTAGACATTGGGAAAATTAACGCTTGGGGGACGATTGGGGCCACGGTCAGGTGCTGGGTTGGTTCACATTTGTCAAATGATGCAAGATGATTCTTTCAGACACAAGGAATCCAATCAGGGAAAATAGGGCATATCCTCTCACTTTGACATAGGTGATAAAATGACAGTGTGTCTGTCTATATTTATCATCATGATTGAGGTAAATAGATATCTTTTCTCTAACTTAAAATAACGCAAAAGCCTAAAGCTCTCCCTGCCCCTGGTTGTCATGCATACCAATATTTTTTCTTTTCCTTTTTTTTTTTTTTTTTTTTTTTTTTAAGGATAAAGTCTTGCTCTGTCACCCAGGCTGGAGTGCAGAGGTGTGATCTCGGCTCACTGCAACCTCCACCTCCCAGGTTCAAGTGATCCTTGTGCCTCAGCCTCCTGAGTAGCTGGGGTTACAGGCACCTGCCACCATGCCTGGCTAATTTGCATACTAGTTTTCTATGCTACGTAATAAATTGCCACAAACTTAGGTGCTTGAAACAACACGCTTTTGCACTCTTACAATTTCTGCAGGTCTGAAGTCTGGTCATGGTTTAGCCGGATTCTCTATTCAGGGTCTCACAAGGTTGAAATCAAGGTGTAGGCCAGGCTGTGTTCCCATCTGGGGGAGTGAGTAGCGAGTTACCTGCTTCCAAGCTCCCTTGTGTTGCTGGCAGAATTCAGTTAGGTGTCGAGTTCATGGCAGCATCTCTGCTGTTTCAGATCTCTGACCTCTAGATCCTCTTTGAACGAGCTCACCCGATGATGTATGCCAACTCAGGAAAATCTCGATTTTTATTAAAGTCAAATGATTAGGGACTTCAATCACATCTGCAAAATCCCTTCGCCTTTTTCATAGAACAGTATCTAATCACAAGAGTGACATCTCATTCCCTTTGCCATTTTCTGTTGATTAGAAGCCAGTCACAGATTCTGCCAGCCACACAACTGTGTGACTTTGGGGTGTCACCTTAGGATGTGTCTGCTACCACAGGCTGTAGTGTAAGCAACTTGTATGAGCAGTTTTATTGATACAAAAGCATTTAAACCTTTTCCCTTTGCATTCATATTTTGTGGTGGAGATGAACTTCAGGTTACAGCAGAATAAATGTAGATTGGTAGGAGCAGTGTAGGCAGTAAGGCCTTCTTGACTTCCAAGTCAGTTCTACAAAACACTGAGCCACTTTGCAGCTAGTGAGGAACTAGAGTTCTGTTGGGTGGTTTTGTTGGAGGTGGGGAGTGAATAGGTCTGCTTTTTCCGTTTCTAGGTTATTCTTCTCAGGAAGGGAAAGGTCATGGATAATTTTCCTTTTTCTCTTCTTAGCATCTGAGATTTTGGCATAATAATAGAACAAAATAATTAACATCTGATATGAATGGTGAAAAGAAAAAGCAAGATAGCACTTTTTGACTGTGTCTCTAGACAAATTATTTTCGTTGTTTCTTTTGTTTGCTTGTTCTTCCCATTTGGAGGTGGGAGTTAACTGGGAGGTGGAGAGAAGGTGGAGGCAGAGAGTTCTTCACTGCCTTTGGCTGGAATATGAGAAGAAGAGCAACAATAAGAAATAGGCCGCCAGAGGCCAGGCACATGGTTCACACCTGTAGTCCCAGCACTTTGGGTGGCCAAGGCTGGCAGATTGACTGAGCTCAGGAGTTTGCAACCAGCTTGGTCAACACAGTGAAACCCTGTCTCTACTAAAAATGCAAAAATTTGTTGGACATGGTGGTGTGCACCTGTAATCCCAGCTACTTGGGAGGCTGAGATAGAATTGCTTGAACTTGGCAGGTGGAGGTTGCAGTGAGTTGAGATCATGCCACTGCACTCCAGCCTGGGAAACAGAGCAAGACTCTGTCTCAAAAAAAAAAAAAAGAAAGAAAGAAATAGGCTACCAGAACTGCTACCCTTTAGATATGAAAACATAAAGCCCTAGTCAATTTGCATGGCTGTCTTTTCAGTGTAACCCAGGGATGGGGTTTACTTCCTACTGTTTACTTGATGGAGTGCCTGGCACACTAAGCACTCTAAGTAGCTGTATAATGAAAAAAGGAAATTAATCTTCCTAGGTGGTACAAGAAAAAATGCAAGGTAGCAGAGACTTGAATGCACTGAAAATGAAAATTTACGGAAACCTGGGCCTGGCCTGGAATAGCTGATAGCAAGTGATTAGGGCCCAGAAGAAGGATGCTGAGCCACTTGTTCAGAAAGCTGATCTGGATCAGCAGAAGGCCAGCTGGATGGCAAACTCTTTGTGGTTAGTTGGTCGCTTATTATTTGGACTCAAGCTTATGGACTTCATGGGTCAGTACCGTTTCTAATACCTCTTAAGTGGACTTCATTTGCCTGTGGTGAGCTCCATTTCAACCAACCAGTCCTAAACTGATAAGAAACATGGTGGGTTTTCCCTTTTTAATCTCACCCTTGCTTTTGGTCTAAGAAACAGTCTTCACAGGTGCTGCCGTTCTTTGTATGTACCTACATAGGAGTAAATCCTTATTGTTTTAAATGAACTGTCTCTGAATTGGTTTAACCATTAGTAACCTCTCTGGAGTGCATCAAGTTTGCCCTGCTTTGTCTGGAAGTTAACTGTTCTTAACACTTGTTATTGTCAGAGTTTACTTTTTCTTTTCTTTTTTTTCTTTCTTTCTTTCTTTCTTTTTTTTTTTTGAGATGGAGTTTTGCTCTTGTTGCCCAGGCTGGACTGTAATGGTGTGATCTCAGCTCACTGCAACCTCTGCCTTCTGGGTTCAAGTGATTCTCCTGCCTCAGCCTCCCAAGTAGATGGGATTACAGGTGCCCACCACCATGCCCAGCTAATTTTTGTATTTTTAATAGAGATGGGGTTTCACCATGTTGTCCAGGCTAGTCTCAAACTCTTGACCTCAGGTGATACACCCAGCTTGGCCTCCCAAAGTGCTGGGATTACAGGCATGAGCCACAACGCCTGGCCAGAAGTTACTTTTCTTTTATCAAGTAGGAAAGGAAAAAAAAGCTTGAAAGTAACATCTTGAGGACTAGCACAGAAGGAAGTTTTCCAAGGTCTTTGAGGAAGTTGGAAGGAGGTTTCTCTGGGAGGGCAATCTTGGGAATAAGGCTCAGGTCTTGATGCCTAGTTTTTTCACTCCTTAGGCCCTAGAGGGAGTGCATCCTATGACTTTAGTAGGATGGTATTGCCATGTTTTGCCCAAATAGTTTGGGCATTGTCTTTTTATTACTGGGTAGCAAAAATTTTCAGAACCTCTGGTGAAGGTAGTTTTCTTCACTAGCTATGTTGCTGGATTGAGGCTAAGGGTAAATACCTAATTAATAGCAGTGAATAGGAATAAATAGTATAGCCATAGAAGGCTAAGAAATAGTCCTTGGTTTTCTGGGGGTCCTCACCATCATAAGTGAGTAACGTTGGTGGCAAAAGGACAGAGCGCCAGTAAGATGTGTCAGTGCAGGAAGCCTGGAAAGACCTTGGCAAGCCTGGAGTTGGGACAGATTGGAGTGTCTGCCTGCTCAGAAGTGTGAGCCATATGGAACACATCACACCTGTGCGACACAATCTGTCCTAGCTGCCCACTGTTTCCAAAACAGTGATTTTTCTGGTTTAGGTGAATTATACATTTAATATGTTGACTTGTAGCTATTGATGGTATAAAAACAATACCGAACATTTGGTCCAGGGTTTAATTAACCTCTTAGGCATGGGAGTAGCAAGCTTAATTGCTTATGCTTTTAAGAGGAGCAAACATGCACCCTTTCCCTGATGACTCGGGGCTTTTGGACATTTTCCCCAGAACTCTGAGCAACATTTTATGAATTGAGTTTTTGCTAGTCACCTGTTGTGCATCGGGACATCACATGCTTCTGCTTAGCTCTTGCTGATTGGAAAGAACTTTGCAGTGTCTAGCACATAGGAGGCACTTGGATGGTATATTTAGAATTATTGTTTCTCATATTGGATGTAATAATTTTAGGATGCTTCATTTCCAGTTCTTATCATTCTTTCCCTTTGAATTTAGATTGATCTGATGGGTACAAATTATAAATCAGTTCATCTTCTTTGGCAAAATGCCAAGAATATTTATTTTAAAATGTTAATATCTCATTTTTTCCCCCTATTTTCACACTCTTGTTTCATCAATGTTGTTCATGTTGCTTGGTTATCCTTGGCATAATTTTTGCCATTTTGAAGATATTTTCCTGAAGCTTCTAAGTTTGTTGATGGCAGAGGTGGTCTGGTGAGTGATGAGAGGGAGCAGGGTGGTAGGGGTGGTTCTAGGGAATATGCTTTGAATTTATGAAATTGGGTCTTGGATAGCTTTTCATCTCCCTAATTGAGTCCCAAAGACTTAGTCTTGTAGACAACTCTGTAAAAATAATTAATTGGGCATATTGGAATGTCTTTTTCACAGAGAGATTAAATTATATGCCTCCCACTACTTTTTGATGTGTCAGTTTCTCCACTCAACAGTTTGCTGTTAGGAGAACCCGGACCACTGGTAGTGTTAATCCTTGTTAGCAACGCAGGAGGAGGTGGGGAGTGAAGACAAGGCTGATACTGTTAAGCCAGGGGAAGTTCTAGATTATCAGTGATTTCCTCTACGCTGTGGTCACATTTGATTGAGTAATTGTAAGTTAGTTTGGGACATTATACTAATCTGAAAGATAAAATTATGTTAATTTTGACAGCTGGATAGTATAATAAAATTTCTTTTTTCTGTTTTCTATTAAATCTTGAATTTTAATCTGTGCATATTTTTGTCTATCCTCATTTAGGATTATAACTGGGTAACTTACTTTTTTTGTAAATGCTTCAGTTAAAAGTAAAGAGGGATTGGCACAGATTAAGGGTAAAAATGTTGCTGCTCTTGTTAGTTTTATCCTCTTGTCTGAAATTTGACCAATCTTCATAGCTTTGAATTCAGTTTATTACAGAGGCTGGGAATAGCCACAAATGAGTATAATTGGGCTTTAATTTCATTTTAATTAATTGATTAATTCCTTGGAGTCCTGTTACTACTTCAGCTCCCTCTAATATCTGGATGGTGGTACTGGATCCTATGAAGCCTGGAGGACCTTTTGAAGTGATGGCACAACAGACTTTGGAGAGAATAAACTTCACCATGAGAGTTCATGATGTCCTGTTTGGAGATGTCTGGCTCTGTAGTGGGCAGAGTAACATGCAGATGACTGTTTTACAGGTAATTTGCAGAGTCTCAGCAATAGTACAGTGTTGGTGATGAAGGAAAAGGAGGAGGAATAAAGGGGCAACGAGGAGAAGCAGAGCTGTTTCTATTTACTGAATACCATGAGCCGAGGTCTATTCTAAGTGCTTTGAATGAATTCATTAATTTGACTTAACAATCTTAAGAGATAAGTTATTGATTAAATTGGTAGTTATTGACTGGTACTAATATATTCTACATAGGTTAAGAACTTAGAAGGTTAGGAACCTAGAAGGAGTATTGTTTTCTCTAGCACTTTTTTAAAAACTGAGAGTTTCTTCTCAAGTTGATTTTTATTTTCTTGCCCCCACCACTTTTTTTTTTTTTTTTTTTTTTTTTTTTAGGAGATGGAGTTTCTCTCTTGTTTCCCAGGCTGGAGTTCAATGGCACAGTCTCAGCTCACTGCAACCTCCGCCTCCTGGGTTCAAGTGATTCTCCTGCCTCAGCCTCCCGAGTAGCTGGGATTACAAACATGTGCCACCATACCTGGCTAATTTTTGTGTTTTTAGTAGAGATGGGGTTTCGCTGTGTTGGTCAGGCTGGTCTCGAACTCTTGACCTCAGGTGATCCACCTGCCTCGGCCTCCCAAAGTGCTTGGGATTACAGGTGTGAGCTACCATGCTGGGCCTATTTTCTTGCCTTTTAATCATTCCTTTGAGAAATATTAAATTTGAGATGTAAACCGCTGTACAACTGGACCATGATTTCAATTCATCTCTTTTTGAAAAATTTATGAAATTCCATACATTCATGTACTCTATGATTTGTTGTTTTGCTTCTATTTCTTAGGTTTTTTTCTGTAGCCTACTGCTAAATAATGATACTAAAATGATCTTACTCTGAACATATCTACTTCATTTCATCATTAGTTTTCTGATTTAGAATTTAAATTCTTACATCGAAGTCTTCTTTATCAACATTTTATTTATGCTTACTTTCTGTCTTATTTATATATATCGGAAGCCCCCCTACTTTTTTTTTTTTAAAGAGATAAGGTCCTTCTCTGTTACCCAGGCTGGAGTGCAGTGGTGTGATCATAGCTCACTGCAGCCTAGAACTCCTGGGCTCAAGGGATCCTTTTGTCATAGCCTCCTGAGTAGCTGGGATTATAGGTGTGAGCCACCATGCTCAGCTAATTTTTTATTTTTTATAGAGATAGGGTCTTGCCATGTTGAACAAGCTGGGCTTTTTGAATTGAAATGTTTATTACACTGAACTTTGACTGGACTATCTTTTAGCATAAGAGAGTGGAGGCAAAATTGAAATTTTATTTCTTGATAGAAAAGATGGTTTTGTATAGAGCAGAATTGCTGTTAACTCATTAAGGGAAACAGTACTTTTCTTAATGCTATAATTGCAGTTCCCTGTTTGCACAGAAAGGCGTGGACCAGATATGTTTGTATCTACATAGTCATTTTCTCAACAGCAGTCTATGCCAGGGGATCCCATCCCAGTTTTCTGTCAAGTTAAATCAGATTTTGATTGTTAAGAGTAAACATATTTTTCCTGCCTAGAATTTACCCCTAAGCATCTTCTGTATAAAGCTAGGGCTCCAAGCTCTGAGATATAGGGGAATAGGAAAAAAATTCCATCTGAAACATCCAAGTGTTAATTTTTATTTTTGTTTAAATCATATGCTTAGTTTGCAAGATAACATTTTAGGTGCTGACAGTACCAAAAGCCAAGTGTTCTAGTCTCTTAACAGCCTATGCAACCTTATATTTTGACTAAAATGATGTTCTACATGGCTTCCCCTTTATTCCTTTTGCTCCTTTCCTCCTACAAACCCCAACACACACCTCTCTCTCTCTCTCTCTCTCTGTCTCTCTCTCTGTCTCTCTCTCTCTCTCTCTCTCTCTCTCTCTCACACACACACACACACACACACATATCTTTTTCCTTCCCTCCTTCCATGTGACTTTTCTGAGGAGGTAAGATTTCCACTATAACCTACCACTCTTCACATTCAAATCAAGGGAATGGCAGATTGCGTGCCCATCTTGTTGTTAGGGTAAAGTGGAATTTTAAAATTGAGTGTTATTTATAACGCTGAGTGAGATGTTTATAAATGGAGAGAAGTCTAAATGTTCATCTGTCGCCTCCTAAGTCAGGGTAGGTCTTAAGACTTGGATATTTCTAGTTATGCTCAGAAAAAGATGGCCAATATCCATCAGGAAACCCATTTTCCAATATCTCAGGACTCCCCACCTTCCTTCTTTACAAATAGAGAAATTAAGATCCAGAAGAGAAGGGCTGGTACCACATTCCAACAGAAGATTCACAGGACTTAGGAGGGTGGCTTTTTTTTTTTTATAGTTATCTCCTCAATTTTAGAAGTGTGCCATAGTAGAAGGTAAAATAACATACAGAATTTCCAAATTCTTTTAAGAAAATTTTCTGTCCTTCACTGTGTGTGTATGCACACACAGACTCACACACATGCTTTGCTTCCACAGGCAGACCCCATGCTAAGATCCTCTGAGGAAATAGATTCTTGACGTGTCTTCATTAATTCAAGAATTTGGTATAAAGGTTACAAAACGAACTACCAGTGAGCAGCTGCTTTGATGGTGAACGGTCCAGTCCCTAGAGAGGCAGAGGTTCTCTCTCCCAGCCTCTGAGGCGTTAATGACTTCAAATACCTTGGTATTCATTTACATCCTCATTTAAATACTTGGTAGAAAAATAATTACACTGAGGTGTTTGATGAGATGAAATCTGATCTCAGCAGATGGAGTAAGGCTTCCCCTTTCATCAGCAGGGAAACGAAGTGTCATTTAAATGAAAATCTTCCTGCAATCTCTTTATTCCTAACTTTGCTGCCCATATCCCTGAGGAAATGCTTTCATCAAAAAGGCCTAGTTATTGGGAAAGGATACCAATTTCTGAAGTAATTGTCATGACGTTGTCAGGTACAGAAGGAATGGTCCCCACCCCCATTTTTGCTGACACTCTCTGTGGCTTTCAAGTTTTGGCTTGAAATTACACGCAAATGTGTCTGAAAATGGAAGTTTTCCAGCTAATGTTTTGGATCCAGTTCTGTGTGCTGGTATCAATATAGGAGAATGCCAACCGCTCTGACTCTATTGGCCTCACAGCACTCTACAGTGTTAGCAACGGGTCTAAAAGACACGTAGCATGTTCTCCCATACTGCCTCCCAAGCTGGCGTCTCACTGCGATGAGGCACTTGAGTTCCCAGTCAGTGCGGAAGCTAGTGTGGGTGGAGAGAATGAAAGCAGTTTCATCCACTGTTTCCATGGAAGCAACATACAATCCCGAGTGCTTAGTGCAGAACTGAATTCCAAAGGAGGAGGCTTTTTACAGGTACTTGCTGCTGAAAAATAATTTCCCTGCCAGATACACTGTGAGTGCATTAGCCTGTTCTTACTCCTTCGTGTTTACTTTACATTAAACCTGCCAGGTATAGATTTCCTGCAGAATTTTCCTGAGACCGTGTGTAATCTGTCTGGAAAATGGGAAGACCAGTAGCCCTGACACGCTAGAGCTGCCATTTCCAAGGGAGCATTTCAGGTGGTGGCTCCCACTGTGACCAAAAGAGCCATCTCATTTCCATCTGGTCATCTTACTGGGTGCTGCAGGCTCCTTGGCAAGTCCAAAGCGATTCAAGGGGCAGCATCTTTCAGTGAAATGCACCATGGGGGCACCTGGCTGCTTGAGAGTTTCTCTTACGCTGTGGCTGGAGGGCCAGCTGTGTTCTCTGTGGTGGGTGGGGGCAGAAAGCGAGCCAGCTGCACACTCTGTGACCAGCAGCCAATGACACGTATCCGGCCTCCTGTGCCTCTGGCCGCTGTGGCGGCCCCGACTCAGATGGAGCGCCTGTTCCCTGAGGCAAGTGGTAACTGGGCTTCCTGAAGCTCCTGTTAGTCCTTTGTCTTGGGAGAAGCTGGGCCAGTCCAGGGGGATAGAAAGGACTCAAGAGGAAACACACAAATTAAAAAGCAGAATAAAATATTTCTGATATATTTGTTTTAGAATAAAATAACTAAAATGTCAGGATGAAAGGAAATAGCACTTATGCATAAGCTCATAGAGGAAGGATGCTTCACTGCACTAACAAAGAAGGTACTAGGTGTAGCACCCACATTCTCGTCCAGAAAAACTCTCAGTCACTCCTTTCATACTCCTGACAATTGATGAGGTGTAATAAAGTGATTTGGGAAAACATGATTTGTCTCTGGATGGACCCTTTTCTTTGTTTAATTCCTTGGGACTGTTCCGAGCTGTTACCCTGAACACCATCTTTCCAGTCTCCATGCCTCCCTTGCTCTTCTTTGGTGATTTACCAAGACCAAGATGAGGGTACCGTCAGCCTCAAGTATCCACCAGTGCCACATGTGCAGACCCGACCTCAATATTTTCAGATGGAAAATATTTGAAGAATAAAAATTAAAAGTGACGATACAACAATAAATACTACACATTGAAAAAACAATACATACAGGTCGAGTATCCCTTATCTGAAGTTACTTGAGATGAGAAGTGTTTCAGATTTTGGATTTTTTTGGATTTTGCAATATTTGCATAGAAATAATGAGATACCTTAAGGACAGGACCCGAGTCTAAACATGAAATTCATTTATGTTTCCTATATACCTTATGCACTTAGCCTGAAGGTAATTTTGTACCATATTTAAAAATAACTTTGTGCATGAAACAAAATTTGTGTTAAGTATTTATGTGTGGAATTTTCCACTTGTTGACATCATGTTGGCACACAAAAAATTTTGGATTTTGGGGCATTTTGGATTTTGGATTTTCAGATTAGGGTCGCTCAACGTATAACAATTAAATAGCATTTACATTACATTAGGTGTAAGTAATCTAGAGATGACTGAAAGTATAGGAGGATGTTTATAGGCTATAAACAAATATGCCATTTTACATAAGGGACATGAATCCTCAGATTTTGGCATGCTGAGTTTTGGTGGGTGTGGGTGGTGGGGGTGGGGTCTTGGAACCAACACCCTGTAGATCTGAAGGATAACTGAGACTTACTTCAGTATGTTTCAGTAGTTTAACAGTCATTTCTTAGGTGCTGAGCACGCTTCTCTTGTGTGATATGGATTAGACAAATCTACCTTCCCATGGCCTTTTTGGTTCCACAGAGCATCCTATTTTAAAAAGAAGTTAATTGGCATGGTTTTGTGTTATGAAATACTTTTTCAGAGTAGAAATAGCTTCAAGGTATCAGAGTGTGCTGAGTGCGGGGCAATATTCTTTTTAGCCTAAGCTACTTCACAGCTCCTCATGTCTAACATAGACCTGCTCCTTAAGATCACAGATTTCATTATATTCCTATCCTTTTTGGGTACATGATTCATTATGGTCTCTTTTGGTAAAAGTGGATCAAGGTGATTCAGTCCACCCATTGGTTTTGGCTATGAATTTGATCTCAGTGTATTGAAGGCTCAGGAGCTCAGAGGATTGATGTTTACTAAGAGATGTCAGGCTAGTTTGCCACCCACTAGGTTAAATGATGTTTCAATTTCTTTTCCAGGTATTAAATGCTACAAGGGAGTTGTCGAACACGGCTGCCTACCAGTCTGTCCGCATCTTCTCCGTCTCCCCCATTCAAGCAGAGCAGGAGCTGGAGGACCTCGTTGCCGTTGACTTGCAGTGGTCTAAGCCCACTGAAGGTATGTGACGGCTTGAACGCGCTGCCTCTTATATAATGGATTAGTGTCCTAAGTGGAATTTATAAGACTGAATTTGGTTCTTATCTGTGTTTATTATTACTGATGTGTTTTATTCCTTCCTTAATGATTCTTCATCCTTCCTGATGGTGATTATTTCAGATTTCTTCCCAAGACTACCAACAAATCTTCCCTCTTGCTGTGGGAAATGACTCTTCCATCAACACCTGCAGTGAAAATATCGAGGCCCCTCGGCATGGTCTCTGCCAGCATCTCTCACCAGTGCCTTCACTCCAAATTCTCTTCTCTTTCTTCCCTTGTTTCTTTGTCTCTAGACAACTGACTGGTCTCTTTTCAGGGCTAACTCTGATTTGGGTTCTGCTTTCTTCAGAGCCTTCTTTAATCCCGTAGGCGGTGTGGTTTTCCCCCTCAGTCCATTCAGCATTTCGTGACTGCTCAGTGTCAGAATCTGTGCCAGGCCCCAGGGACAAAGCAGTGACCAAACAGACACACAGTCCCTGCTCTCTGAGCTTAGCCTTTCTTTTATTCGCATGAAACAAAACAATAGTAAACATCACAAACACCCTTCTCAGATGCTTCATCTTTCTCTTTTGCTTTATTAAACCTTTCTAGAACATCTCCTGTTTTCATGCTTTTCACTGCCTTTCCTTGTGTTCACTCTTCAGCCCTTTGTTACCTGGCTTCTGCTTCCACCTCAACAATTTGTTCACCTGGAAGTTCCTCTTTTTTTTTTTTTTTTTTTTTTCTGTTCTTCTTCTTTTTTTTTTTTCCCCTGTTCTTCTTTTTCTATTTTTATTTTTAAAAAGCCTACAGCACCCGGTATTCCCAGGCAGTCTCCCATCCAAGTACTAACCAGGCCTGGCCCTGCATAGCTTCCAAGATCAGACAAGATTGGGTGGGTTCAGGGTGATATGGCCGTAGACCCTACTGTTCTTCTAATGATAAACCTAGAGACCTCTGCTGCATTTGGCACTGTGGACCACCCCTTTTAGAAACCACATGTTCCTCCTTGCTTGCCTGGTGCTTTCCTTTCCTAGTTCTCCTCCTCTGGCTTCTCTGTCCCTTTTTCTTTGCTTCTTCATTCCCTTCTTTCAGATGTGGTCGCTGTTTCTCCCTGGACTTTTTCTTTTTTTCCTATGCATGCTTTCCTTGGTGCTTAGATGTTCCAACATTTTAAAGTATTAATTCACCTAACAAATATTTGAGTGCCTGTTGTGTGCTCAGCACTATTCCAAGTGTGCGGGATATAGTAGTGAATAAAACAGGCAAGAATGCCTGACCTCATGGAGCTTACAGTCTAGTGTGAGGAAAATACTGAAAGTGAATCATAAAATTAGTAAATTATGGCAATGTATCTGATGCTATCCAGTCTCACACTATCTAAACTCTCCCTATAAAAGAGCTCAGGAACTGAATGGATTCAGGTAAATTTTTGGACGAATCCTTTGCTCTATGAATTCTTACTGCATGGTATCCAAAACTCAGGACTTAATCAAATTTGGATAATGCATTATGCCTTGCTATCTGAATTTGTTTTCACTTTGTGAAATCAGAAATGGAATGAATAAATATGGATATCACAGGATAGGTTAATGGGTGATATGTACTAATGAAACAAAAATAAATAAATCAAATATATCAGGGAAGGGGGGCAATAGGGAATGTTGATGCTGGGATGGGAGAGTGGTTTGCAAGTTAGAGTAGCCAGGGAAGCCTCAACTGAGAAAGGCAACATTTCAGTAGCAGCTTGAAAGAGGCGAGGCAAGGCAGATACCTAGGAAGGGCACAGAGGATCCATCTCTCCCACACTGAGATTCTCTCCTGCCTCTTCTTCCTTTTTTTTTTTGAGACGGGATCTCACTCTGTCACCCCAGGCTAGAGTGCAGTGGCATGATCTTGGTTCACTGCAACCTCCACCTCCTGGGTTCAAGTGATTCTTCTGCCTCAGCCTCCCAAGTAGCTGGGATTATAGGTGCGTGCCATTGCACCCAGCTAATATTTGTATTTTTAGTAGAGACAGGGTTTCACCATGTTGGCCAGGATGGTCTCGAACTCCTGGCCTCAAGTGATCTGCCTGCCTAAGACTCCCAAAGTGCTGGGATTACAGGTATGAGCCACTGTGCCAGGCCTCCCACCTCTTCTATCATCACATCACTGCTGCTGGGAAAGGTTTTCTGATTTTAAGGGCTCTTGTAATTAGATTGGATCCACCTGGATAATCCAGGCCACTCTCCACCTCTCAGGTTTTTAACCTTTATCACATCTACACAGTGTCTTTAGCCACTGAGATAACACATCCATAGGTTGCAGGGATGAGTGTGCGGATGTCTTTTGGGTCTGTTATTTCGCCTACCCTCCACATTCTCGTTCTCAAGCATTTCCAAGTGGCTTTCCATTTTCTTAACTCCAAGATGTGGCTCCAACCTCCCCTCCAGTCTTATCTTCCACTGTTCTCTTTTGTAATGTCTGCTCCAGCCAAATACTTTTAGAATATTTCCTATTCTGTGTGCCTTTTTATATATTTTTTCTTCAGCCTAAAGTGCCAGCTCTGTTTATTAAACTCCTGTTGGTGGTTTAAGACTTCCCCAGCTCTTCTCTTCCATCCTGTTTACCACTCCCCTCTATCTACTGCCAGTGAAACCACCTTTATACCAGATAGGCACAGCCACCCTCCACCAGTCAGCAAACACTGACTCTCCATTGTGTCCTGGACACTGGGGATGCAGATGTGAATCAGGTGAAGTCCCTGCTAACAGTGGGCTAAGGGAAACACTAAGCAGAGGGTTATTGCAAAGTCTAGTAATGGAGCAATGCTCAGACAATTGTGGAAGCACAGTGTGGGGTGGGGAGGTCAGTCTTTAGCAGACCTTTTAGGATCTGCCTCTCATTTGATATTCTTTCTTGGAGTTAAAACTTTTTAATACTTGTTGTACCTCTTGAGGCACTTACCATCTTTTGCCATATATTTTATTCAGCTAAATACTTGTCTTATTCTATCAAGTGTTGGAGTGCCAGTGACTTAGCCATAGTCCGTCTTTATTAGTAAACCTTGGGCTGAACTGATCCCGTCCTTGTGTATATATGCATGTTCCCCTCTTCACCAGCTTTCCTCTCACATGAAATTACTCACTCTTGCCTCTGTTGGTTACTGGGCAGTGTAATTGGACGAATGAGTTAGACTGTGCTGAGAATTTAAACACTAGTTTTGGCTTCTTTTGCCTTTCCTTTTGGGCCAAATTTTCCATTACTTATCATCTGTTCATGTTTTCTTTACCATAGCTATTTATTTTTGTTTTTTGATTTTGGTTTTATTATTTATTTATTTATTTATTGAGACCGAGTTTTATTTTCTTGCCCAGGCTGGAGTACAGTGGCACCATCTTGGCTCACTGAAACTTCCACCTCCTGGGTTCAAGCAACTCTCCAGCTGGGATTACAGGTGCCTACCACCACGCCTAGCTAATTTTTGTATTTTTAGTAGAGACGGTGTTTCATCATGTTGGCCAGGCTGGTCTCGAACTCCTGACTCCTGATGATCTACCCGCCTCATCCTCCCAAAGTGCTGGGATTACAGGTGTGAGCCACCCTGCCCACCCTCTTTACCATAGCTATAAAATTGGGTATAAAGCCACTGAGAAAAAAAAATACACATTTCTTCTTAAGTTGCCCCCTGCTTGCTTTTTCCCTGCCACAGAGCTAAGTGGGAATGAGTGGCTGAGTAAGAGGGGAGACATAGAAGAGAGTGAGTAGCATGGGGACGTGATGGCCTTCCCACCTCTCACCTATTTGAGGGAGATAATTTATTATCCAAGAGTCTGCAGAATCTGTAAGTGATGGGAAGCATGGGGAAGCCTATTGCCTAGCCAGAGAGCTTTAACTTCCGTGTTATGTAACTGAATTATTTATACTCAGGCTGAGAGCAAAATCGCTATCATATCTGCCTCTCTCCCAGGCAGAGAGCGCTCTTTCCTTGTTATGAGAACAAGCATTTTGAGCAACTGAAAAAACATGAAGACAGATAAAAGGGAACTGTCACTAAGATTACGGTTTTCTCCCTTGGAAAAGATTCTCCTTAGGAAAGGTTTGGAAGAGATGATAGTGTCCAGACCGGCATATTGGTCTTGATGCTGTATCTTCTCTGTGCCTCTCAATCTTATCCTACTTTTAAAAGTCTTAGAAAAGAACAGAAGAATGACCTCGGCTCACCCTTCTCACCTAGACCCACCTAGCAGCTGCAGTTTATATCCATCCACCTTTTTTTTTTTTTTGAGATGGAGTCTTGCTCTTTTCTCCAGGCCAGAGTGCAGTGGCACAATCTCAGCTCACTGCAACCTCCACTTCCTGAGTTGAAGCGATTCTCCCGCCTCAACCTCCTGACTAGCTTGGATTACAGGCATGTGCCCACCACGCTGACTCTTTTTTTTTTTTTTTTTTAACCGTTTCTCTGAACAGAAAACTTAGGCCATGGAAATTTCACATATATGTCAGCAGTGTGCTGGCTCTTTGGGCGTTACCTGTATGACACTCTGCAGTATCCCATCGGGCTGATCTCCTCTAGCTGGGGCGGGACATCCATTGAAGCCTGGTCATCTGGACGGTCACTGAAAGCCTGTGGAGTCCCTAAACAAGGGTAAGACAGCATTCTCCAGTCTGAGAAAGAGCCTACCAGGGAATTATGTAAGAGAGAGGTTCATGTTTCTCTGTGGGGAGTTAAGTATATGTTGAATGTCCCAGTATGTGTTGAATGTATGCGATTTATTCAAGCACAGGGAAAGCATTGTTTTCCTGTCACGCCACCACAATCATTTGAGAACATGTAAAAAAATTTATCTTTTTCCCTAATAATAGTAATAGCTAGTAGTTATTGAAAGCTTTTTATAGTGGCAGACACTGTGCTAAGCACTTTATCTATATTAAGCATTAATATAATGAATATATTATATATTGATATTTTGAAGTATAGATACTATTAAAGACTGTGGATGAAGACACTAAGTTTCAGAGAGATTGAGTAACTTGTTCATGGGCATGACTAGTAAGTGGCAAGTCTGGCTTCAATGTCTGTGCACCTCAGCATTGTGCTGTATTGCCTAGAAAAATAAACAGGCCAACAGGAAGAACAAATGCTATAAACACGTACTCAGAGAAATGTATCAGCATACCGACTATGAACGCCCACTTAGGAAAGGCTGGATCAGGAAGAATACGTGGGAGAGAAAGGGCTAGTTAATATAAATCCCGATACTAACATCAATGTAGAGATGAGCAGTATGTGACCTGCTTTCACGGACCATGTCTCATTCACACTGGGAAGACCTGTGGGAAGAGGATGGGCTTGAGCTCTTGCTATAGTTTGGGTACAAACTTGCCTGTGGGGGAGTGAAGATGTTCAACTTTGGAACAGGAAGAATGGCCTGCAGAAGAGTAGGAGGGAGCGTTAGACCAGATCTCTCGGGATGGAAGGGATAACACTGAGGGTGTGGGGAAGTGGGCTTCTCACACGCAGCAGCTACAGGATACATTCATATAAGTAATCTACAGAGAAATTTGAGAACGTGTTCAGAGCCTTAAAAAAGATGCCCTTTGACACAGCAGTTTCATTTCTGGGAATTTATCTTATGGATATAGTTTAGCATGTATGCAGTGACTTAGCTGTGAGGAAGATAATCCTGGCATTGCTTATAAAAGCAAAAAGTTTAAAACAACCTAAATGTCTGTCCATTAAATAAAGGTTTATTTAATAAAAGTTAAATAAATGTATTGCCCATGTGAGATACTCAACATTAAAGCACTCCTTCCCTGTGACTTTAATCACCTTATCTGGAAACTGGGATGACCCACTCTGGACTCAGGAAAAGCTGACGGATACACTTATTTTGGGAATAACCTGGAGGTAAAATTCAGAGACTATTCATATGTTTTCAAGTGAAAGAGTTTCAGTTCAATTTTTTTTTTTTTTTTTTTTTTTTTGAGACTGAGATTCACTCTTTTCCCCAGGCCGGAGTGCAGTGGCATGATCTCGGCTCACTGCAACCTCCACCTCCCTGGTTCAAGAGATTCTCCTGCCTCAGCTTCCTGAGTAGGTTGGATTACAGGTGTGCACCACCACACCTGGCTAAATTTTTTGTGTTTTTAATAGAGACAGGGTTTCACTATATTGGTCAGGCTGGTCTTGAACTCCTGACCTCATGATCCACCCACTGCCTCAGCCTCCCAAAGTGCTGGGGTTACAGGCATGAGTCACCATGCCCAGCCTCAATTCAATTTTAATTCTGTGTCGCTTTTGTCAGAAGTTTGCCACAAGTGAAAGTGGATAGATGCCCAATTAGGGACCCTTCTGTGATCAATTACTGGCTCTCTGGTAACACTTGTGCATGGTATGATTTCAGATCAGTTCCATCTGATATGGTAACTGGTCCCAGGAAGCACTCTGTTCTCTGGAATGCCATGATCTATCCACTCTGCAAAATGACTCTGAAAGGGGTGGTATGGTACCAGGGTAAGTGTTCATTGTACTCTTTCTCCATTGTATCAAATAGTGTTTGCTGTATAACAGCACCCTAGAACTTAGTGGCTTAAAGCAACAATAACTTTATAATTTTATTCAGCTCACTGTTCTGTGGGTTAGCAGGGTAGTTTTCCTGTCTGGGCTGCTTCAGCTAATTCCTGCTGGGACCTCTTTTGTGTCTTTGGCCACCTGGCAGGTTGTCTGGTGGCTGGATGACCTAGGATGGCCTCTCCCTCCCATGTGTTATCTGGGGACTGTTGTAACATGGTTCTGAGGTGGCCTCTTATCCTTCAGCAAGCCAGTGTAGACTCATTTATTATTTATATAATAGTCTCAGGGTTCCAGGGTCATCAGGAGAGGGCAGAGTCCAAACCTGAAGTGCTTTTCAAGCCTCTGCTTGTACCACATTTGCCGATGCCCCATTGGTCAGAACAAGTCACAAGGCCAGTCTAGTGAGACCGTGGGAAGAACCACTAATTCAGGGCATGGATAGAGGGAGGAGAGTAATGTGTGGCCATTTGCAGTCCACTCCAAACTCCACTTACAATTTGGACTGTTTTTAGGGGAATCCAATATGAATTATAACACGGATCTGTACAACTGCACATTCCCTGCACTCATTGAAGACTGGCGCCAGACCTTCCACCATGGTTCCCAGGGGCAGACGGAGCAGCTTTTTCCATTTGGATTTGTCCAGGTACGATGTGGGCAAAGGTTTCTCTGACCATATCAGTACGTGTTCCTGTGCGGAGAGGAAGAGGTTTATGGGCGTTGGTATGAGGATGTGCTATTTAGATGTTTTTCCTGAGTTCATATTCTGGTTTTTTTTTGTCCTCATAACATACTGATCAGGAACTGAATGTAAGACTTACTTCATCTTAGTTCACTGATAGGAGAATTAAATCTTGAAAAAATGTTGATAAGTAACTAATATTATTAAAAAAGCATTACAGTTTCATTGAGGAAATATTAAAAAGATAAGCAAAAAAGAAGCTAAAAGCATTGATAATTTTACAACCCAGAAATAAGCTCATTCATTTTTGAAATAGATCTTTACTATATCTTGCATTTTCTCTTAAAGTAGTATCTCAATTAGAGATAAGTAGTAAACATTTTTTTCTTGTCGATAAATATTAATTTTCAATGCAGTTTGTAATGATTGCAGAGTCTGAAATATGGTTATATTGTAGTTTATTTGACTAGGTCTCTATAGATGGGCATTTATGTTGTTTTAAAAGTTTGCTTTAATAAGCTTTGCCATGTTTATTTTCCTTGTTGCTAAATCATTGCATATATGCTTGATTATTTCCCTAAGGTAAATTCCCAGAAATGAAATTGCTAGGTCAAAAGGTACACCTTTATAAGGCTTTGAACATGTCCCCAGATTTCTCTGTAGAAATTCCTGAATTTGTATAAACTTATACTCTTAGCAAGTGTCTGTAAGAATGTCCACTTTCCCACCCCCTTCCCAACTTGGTGTCCACTCCCCGGAATGCACCATGCTTTCTCACTCCCAGGCCATTGCACATACTTTCCTAGTTAACTCTAATCATCTTTAAGTTTCAGCCTACGTATTATTTAGGAAGCCTTCTGTGACTATCCAGAGTCTGGGATTAGATGCTTCCTTTCTCTCTGCTTCCCCTTTTTATTTGCATGAGGTTTCCTATGTGACTATATTTTCCCGGGTCACACTTAGATCCCTGGTACGTATGTAGCTGGTTGGCACTCATTAAATAGCAGCTTAACACGTGAATGAAAGAAGATAGCAAGAGAAACCATACATTTATTTCATTTTATTTACTATTATTATTATTATACTTCGGGGTACATGTGCAGAGCAGTGCAGGTTTGTTACATAGGTATTACACATGCCATGGTGGTTTGCTGCATCCATCACCTCATCATCTACATTAGGTATTTCTCCTAATGCTATCCCTGCCCTATCCCCCAACCCCCTGCTATCCCTCCCCTAGCCCCCCACCCTCCGACAGGCCCTGCTGTGTGATGTTCTCCTCCCTGTGTCCATCTGAAACCATACATTTAATTAGAGATAACTAGTCAGAAAGATTCCGCTTTCAGCCTTGCATAAAAAGAATAAACATTTGACCAAGTTCATAATTGCCTAGCCTCCATCTGTTCACATGGCCTACACTTTTTAGCAGGGTGGTAGTTCTGGTTTTTCTAGAACATAGGAAATCTAACAAGTAAGGTGATCTAAAAACAATGCCTATCTTACAACATGACGAGAGAGGATTTACTGTGTAAATAGGACATACATAGTTGCAGAGACCTGCCTCCGCGTGCCCGACAGATGCCTTCTTCTTACCATCCTCCCATCTCCTCTGCCTTGTCCTATTTTACTATACCTTTAAAAAAAAAATTTGTATAGACCTTCTTTTTACCTAAAATGTCCTTATGATTATTTTCTTCTTTCCTGCATTTGTTTTGACTTTGAAATAAGACGATTCTTCTCATTATTTTCAAAGTAACAGCTCCTGTCACCAGTTCTGCATCACTGTTGGTGGAAACTACACGTGGGCTCTGGAAGTACTTTTTTTCTCTCTTGGCCTGTGCACATGGTGATTTGAGTATGACTTTAGTCAACTCAAATCAAAAGTATGTGTTGAATGCTTATTATATGCTGTGAATCTTGTGAGGTGCTAGAAATATAGCAACAGAGAGACCTGGTCCTTGTACTTACCCCTTACAGTTTAGTGGAAGTCCCTTAAGCTCCAGGCTTTAACTTTCTTATCACCAGCGCAAACATTCTGGTTACTTGTGGAAGCCTGGAAATACAACCATATCCCTCCAAAGGGAAATACCCAACATGACAACATAATGGTTCAGACTGAGTCGGAGCTAGACTAACTGCATTCAAATGCTAGCTCTGACACTTCTTGAGCTGTGTGATTTTGAACACGATATTGGACCTCTTTGTTATTTTAAATATTGAATGAGTTAATTCATGTAAAGCCCAGAACATGCCAGATAATGTTAGTGTTGAATATTATTGATGAGAGAAATCAGAAAATCTGGAGGGATAGTTGGTCTGCAAGGAAAGAGGAACTGGCTTCATAGAAGTGCTGAGTTTGAAATGATGGTCACAGTGACTAGAGTACAGCTGGAGATGGAGGACATGAGCTCCGTGGAGAGACCAGGGCTAGACACGTGTATCTGAGTTATTATTAGAGAGGCCACCTGGAGCCTGGGAGAGAAAGAGCAGGAGGCTAGGGGCTGGAGTCCCAAGGAGTGTGCTTTTTAAAAAGGGATTTGGAGGAACGGTTGAACAGACCACAAACTGCAGCATGTTATTTGTGAAATCCTCCGAGTGTGGCCAGCTTTATATTCTTTGGCTGGTCTATGCCTTTATTAGCTGCAGTATTTCTACCAGCCACTGTGAGAGAGGGATTAGTGCCCCACTGTACCTCAGATTAGGAAAACAGGAATTTCATTTGGGTGTGGAGTACGCCGATGCCTCCATGTGGCGAGTATATAGCAGTGCAGTTAATGAAATAGAGTGAATTGCTGCAAGAATTCTCAGCAAACTGCCATTTTGAGAAAATTCCTTTGGCTTGAGAGGCTGTTATTATAGCTTGCTCCCTGTTGAGCTTCAGGCTGGTTTTTACCACAGGTTCTTTTCCGTGGCTTTGTTGCTGTGATCTTCATTATGACCCTGGCTGGTGCACATGGTTCTATTTTGTCTTCTGGGTGTTGTGTGGAAGAAGTAGGGTGGCTTACTAGATCTTTTTATTTCCGTCTTCTAGTCTTCATGAGATTCCACTGTAAAGATCCAGAAGCATCTTTTTGCATTTCCTATGTTAAAGCTGATTTGCCTAAGAGAATTTTAATAAGATAATTGGAAATGTCCTATTAGTTCCATATCGTATCCAAGGCTTCTTTCTGTTACTATTGCAGCCTCTCTGTGTTCTCCTGATGATTTTCTCATCTTTCTGGAGCAACTCGGAGAGCAGAAAATATCCTCGATTCAAAGTTGCATTTGGCCACATTTGTAGGGATGATGTCAGGTATTTTCTGGGCTGTGTGAGTAATAGGCTGGTGGAACAGTCTGTGTAAAATGCAGTACTCTGATGGGGTCAGACATTCTGAAATGGAGTCAAAAAGCTGTTGTTGTTGGCCCAGACTGCTTCCCAGTTTGTGGTTTGACTTACAGTAAGATCATCGCTTGTAAAAGAGAGATAACAGGTTGATGCCTCTCATTGGCTGGAACTGGGGCTAAGAATAAAATGCTATCTAAATCAAAGGACAGGGTGATGTAAACATCAGAAAAGGAAGGAAGGAAGAAATAGCTGGACTGCATGTATCATAGTAATAGTAAAGAATTTTTTCTGGGAGCCTCTGTGTTTTGCAGGAGTAGGAGTATATCAACTTTCCGTTTATATGAAAACAAATCCTGTTAACTCACTCTGCATTCAGAATCTGACCACTTCTCACTACCTTTACTCCTCCTACGCTAGTCTATGCCACCATCATCTCTCCCTTGAATTATTGCCTCCTAACTGGTCTTCATCCTGCTTCTACCTTATATTCTCCCACTTTAGGATATTCTCAGTATATCAAAGTGATCCTTTGAAGTGTAAGTCACATCGGAAGGCTCCAGTGGGTCCTCATGTGCTGAGGTCAACAAGGCCATACATGATGTACCCCCTGCCTGCCTTACCTGCCGACCTCACCTCCTGATTCTCTCTGCCTTGCATACGCTGCTCCAGCCACACTGGCTGCCTTACTTTTCTTTAAGCACGCTAGGCATACTCCCCTCCTGGGGCCTGCTATTTTCTTTTCCATTCTGCCTGGGAAGTTCTTTTTCTGCTGTTTTAGTTTTCTATTGCTGAGTAAGAAATGAATGCATAGTTAGCAACTTAAAACAATACAACACACATTTATTATCTCAGTTTCTATGGGTGAGATGTCTGAGCCTTCTGCTCAGTGTGGAAGTGAAGGTGTCAGACAGAGCTGGGGTCTCATCTGAGGCTTGGAGTTCTTCTCCAAGCTCATGTGGTTGCTGGCAGAATTCACTTCCTTGAAGCTGTAGAACTCATGGCAGCTTACTTCTTGAAGGCCAGCAAGGGAGAGGGTCTGGCTTCTAGATCATCTTTGAAAGGACTCACCTGACTAGGTCAGGCTCACCATGGTACTATCCCTTTTGATGAATGTGAAGTCAGCTGACTGAGGACTTTACTTGTAACATGTGCAAAAGCCCTTCACTTTTGCCATATACAGCATAATTACAGGATGATATCCCATTACCTTTGCCATAGCCAACTGGTTAGAAATCGAATATGAGTCCCCCAACCACCACAAAGAGGAGAGTATTGTATAAGAATGTGGGTCACTGTGGGTCATCTGCCTCACATACCCAGATATCCTCATAGCTTCTTCGTACATCTCCTAGTCTTTATTCAACTCTGACACTCATTCCTCTTCCCCCATTATATTTTCCTCCAGCACACTTATCACTTTCTCATAGGATATGTAGTTTACAGATCTATTTTGTTATTGGCTATCTCTCCCTAGAGATTATTCTCTTACTAGAATAAGAATGGGAAGGGATTCTTGTGTTTTGTTCACTCTCTCCTAGGCCAACATTAGTGCATGACACAGAGTCGGTGTTCAGTAAATATTTGTTAAAAGCATGAATAAATAAATGAGCTGACTGATACTATATGAGCTGTGGATCCTTCACAGGTCCTTTCTGGAACAATATTATTCCCCAAATATTCTGGTGCCTGAGACGCCATACAGTTAATTCAGACGCCGTGGCTTCCGAGTGATAGATTTTAGCCTTGCTCTTCTGGTCTCATATCCAGCTGGTTGCTCGGTTCTGTCGGTTTGTCTTAAGTCTCATCATCTCATTCCACTACTATCTTTGTAGATTAGACCCTTGTTGTTTTGTGTCTAGAATATTATAATAGCTACTTAACTAATCAGTCTCTGTGTGTTAAGTCCTTTATTAATTTTTTTTTTTTGCCACAGCCATTTGTATGATTGTTAGAACAATCTTTTGAGATGGTCCTTTGATCATGTCAATAATTTCAGTGGATCTGTTAATTACTTCATTGAGATGAAATTCATGTAACGTACAATTGACCACTTAAAAGTGCTCAGTTCAGTTGAGTGCAGTAGCATTTTAGCATATTCACAATGTCGTGCAGCTATCACCTCTACAGTTCTCTATTGCTTAATAAAAAAGTATCAACTATACAAACACTTACCTTGCTGTCTTTCCAAGTTTGCCTTTCCTCCACAAATCCAGCTGGATTGCCAGTCCAGCTGGATTGCCCTTCTCTCAGAACGACCATTCTCTTCCCCACCTTTGTATCTTACATGGGTCTGACATGTGAAGTGTGTGCAGTACTGACGGTAGTGATTTCTCATATTTTTGGTGCCCATTTAATTTTTTTTATGAATTCTAAGGCCATGTTTTCCTATAATAATATTTGCCTGTTCTAAATGTTTAGTACTTGCCATCTGTGCCACTGATTTAGCATTTAATCCATACTATTTTATAGGTTTATGAACTATAAACCCATTAAACCCTTATGTTTATTTCTTATGTGTAGGTCTGTTTGCAATAAAGTTGTAAAGTACTTGTACCAGTTAGCTATTGCTACGTAACAAACTACCTCAAAACCCCCTGGCCTAAAATAGCCTTTCTTATATAGGTAGCTCTTGTCTAGGGAGCTGGGGTTTGGGGAATTTGGCTAAGCTGCAGATCTTTGGGTTCTTTCAGACCTCTGTGGGTCAGTGGGGAAGCTCTGCTCCAGTCTGGGCTGCTGGAGTGGATTAGATGCAGCAGCTCTATTCCATATCTCTTGTCCTTCTCCAGGGAGTATCAGGCTAGCCCAGGCTAGCTTCGTCCTTCTTGTGGTGATAGCAGCAGTGCAAATGAGCAAGTGAAGCCATGTGGGGTGTCTTGAGGCCTAGGCTAGGAAGTGACATATCATTTCTGCTTCCGTCTATTGGTCAAAGCAAACCACATGGCTGAGCTTAGAATCAAGGGGTTGGGAAACATACTTGTCTTGATAGCATGAGGAACTGCAAAGCCACATGGCAAGAGGGTGTGGATATAGGAAGGAGTGAAGAATTGGGGTCTTCGATGCAATTTGCCACATGCTCAAGGGCAAATTCTTCTCTGCTTCCCCACAGTGCCTAGCGTGTTGTATACAGATGTATCAGTTATCTATTGCTTTATAACAAGCTACCCCAAAACTTAGTGGCTTAAACCATCAGCCATAGTTTTTGCTCACGATTCCTTGGGTTGGTCATGTAGAGCTCACCTGGGATAGCTCATCTCTGCCTTATGTGATGCCAGCTGGGCTTGCTTATGTGGCTACAATTTGAACTGGAGGATCTAGAAATCCACATGACTGGTCTCTTATCTGGGATTCCTGGAACACTAGAGCCTCTCTTTCTATGATCTTTCAATTTCCAAGGATCCTCTCTCTGCATAATCTCCCAGCAGTAGCTGGGCAGCATGACCAGCTCAGGGTTTAAAGAGAATGAAATCAGAAGGCAAGGCCTCATAAGGCCAAGACTCAGTAGCTGTATAGCATCATTTATCCTGTATTCTGTGGGTCGGAGCAAATCCCAAATTCAAAGAGAAGAGAAACAGACCCCGCTGCTTGATGAGACGTGTGGCAGAGTTGCATTCCAAGAGGGCACATAGGATTAGAGGGACTGCTGCAGCTGTCTTTGGAAAGACACTGCCACAGCCATAAGAAGCTCAGTAAATACTTGTTGAATGAGCATTTGAACGCTATGAGAGAAGCTGAAGCAGAGTCCACCAGTGAAAAAACTTCAGTGTGGGAATCAGATGCAATAAAATTAACAATGTCTCTGCTTTCTAGTTATCTTCATATTTGTCTAAGATACGCTCAGATGGTTTTCCCCAGATCCGTTGGCATCAAACAGCAGACTTCGGCTACGTCCCCAACCCAAAGATGCCCAATACTTTCATGGCCGTAGCTATGGATCTCTGTGATAGAGACTCGCCTTTTGGCAGGTATGTTCGCTTCTTGGGCTTTGCATGAACAGTGTATGTTCATTGTAGCCTTTCACTCTGATGTTCACCTGTGAGGGGCAAATTAGACTGAGGATTGGCACTTAGCATCACGTCTGCTGGGGTGTGCTGCATTAACAACAACAAACACCCTCAACATCTCAGTTCTTTGATGCAACAAAAATTTATTTCTTGCTCACACTCTATGTTAAAAGAAGGTCAACAGAAACTTTGCTCATTGTAATCATTCACAGACCCAGAGCAATTGAGGCCGCAAGTTGACCTGTGCTTCCACAGTCATCTTAAAGTCTCATCCTGGCAATTCAGTGCTTCCACGCAAGTCATTTCTGCTCACATTGCACTGGCCAATCCAAGTCACAGGGCCGCGGTTAACTTCAGTGACCAAGTTACTGAAGAAATGGGATTCCAGCATTCCTCCAGCCTCAGAGGAGGAATACTGGAATATCTGTCATCAGCCCCAGTGAATACCACACACTAACTGTAGGATGTGAGAGGAGTCCAACATGCGACGTCTGGATTGTAGGAGGAACTTGACCGATTTATTGAATAAATGAATAAAAGCTCCAGGGGACCAAATAATGAACAGTCGATTCAGAAGAAACCTTTTAGTGGTTAGGAACAGTCTTATGAGTTAGCTCTCCTAGGTTAGCTCCAGTATCTTTCCTTCCTCCATGTCTCCTTCCCTCCTCCCATCCCTCCTTTTATTCCTTCCTTCCAAGCCATCTATTGTTTCAAGGTTTCCAACCCATAGAAGACCCAGAGCCCCATCTATGGTTACCATTCACCATTTCTCTTAAGCTGACTAGCCACTGATCAGGGAGGTCAGTCAACTTCATTCTTACTTTCATAAAGGGTGCTTTGTATAATCCCCCTTTAAAAAAATAATGTGGTTATTGTTGGGCTTAAACTCTAAGTTCTCTACTTTTTCCTTATCCTGTAGCATCCACCCTCGAGATAAACAGACTGTGGCCTATCGGCTGCACCTGGGAGCCCGTGCTCTGGCTTATGGTGAGAAGAATTTGAACTTTCAAGGACCACTGCCTGAGAAGACAGAACTCTTGGCTCACAAAGGGCTGCTCAACGTCACATATTACCAGGAAATCCAGGTGCAGAAAAGGGACAACAAGATATTTGAGGTGAGAACAACAGAAAAAACAGAGGTTCATCTTGTGGTGGAGTCAGGATTTCCTCCATGCTGAGGCCATCTCTTTCATTATAACATTATGATGTGGTGGGTCTTGGTTGGTTGGGTGCTGACCTCATCTCAGAGCCACACATAAACAGCTGTTAATTAATTAGATTAGAGGCAGTTTTGATAGAACAATCAAGGAAGGGAAGACAAGTCCATATTAAAATAGACTTTAAAAATTTGAAATTTCCTTTCAAATTTTTTCTCCCAGAGCAACTATCGTTGCTCAGGGCTGGACCCACAGCTTTATTTGTAGGTTAGCTATTGAAAGATCCTTGCTCCAGAATATTTACCTCATCCTCAGGTGTATTTTTTTGTTACACTATCCTAAATTCTGACATTCTCTGAGTTTAGGTTCTCCTTTGAGAGGCTTATTCTTAGTGATCTGTAACTTCGTGTGATTTAATATAATGAGACTCCTTTTAATACCGAGCAGGGGTCATTCTGCTGTGGAACTGGGGCCACTGATGAAGGGGGTTATTCAGGAGTCTTCTATAGTTGAGGGTGGGGGGTGGAGGCATTCCTACATGGAACATTTAAATGAGCGACTTTGGGAATCATGAGGTCTTAGGCTGGAAAGGGGTGTGTGAAAAGAATGCACTGGAGGAGAGAAAAGAATATTAAAGGCAAACTTTAACTACCCAGGAGTTTAGGGCTGCTGTTTCTGGAATTCTAACTACAGTATCCACCTGCCTCCGATGCTTGGTTGGCATTTATCCCACTTAGCTTCTTTCCACACTGGGTTCTAGGTGAATTTAGAGAAGTCTGCATTCTGAGCTCTCCTCTTTAAGTCAGTTGCTGGTGGTCTGCCTATCATCTGGTCCAGGACAGAATTTAACCTTTGGGTTCTAGATAATTTGTATTCCCTCTTCCAGATTGCCTTCTGGCTTGAGAAAGGCTTTGTATCTAGAGTTCCTTTGTGCCCCTTCTTCATTCTGCAGCTCCTTGGGAGTACCAGAAACAGCAGCAGCTGAGACACGCTGTTCACTTAAATTCCCACCTGCCTTGCTGTTTAGCAGGAGGGATCACCCAAAGAATGTTCAGGGGAGCCCTTCCCTAAATGCCTCATGTGATCATGCTTCCTTGTCTCCCTCAGCAAATGTTTTATTTATTATTTATTTAACCACATGGAAATCTATTATCAACCTGTGACTGCTGACTAGATCCAAAGTGGGCTCAGGTTTGTTCTGGTTACTGTAGGAATAGGTCCTTGGTGAACAATGGCTCCTTCCTCCCATCTATTGTCTGAAAGAGCAGCGCCTGGTTTCTTCAAACACCCTTCTGAGCATTCCTTAGATCACCCTTCTGAGCATTCCTTATATCACCCTTCTAATCATTCCTATTTTATGGCTCTCTTGTTAGATCTCCTGCTGCAGTGACCATCAATGCAAGTGGCTTCCAGCTTCCATGAACACCTTCTCCACCCAGAGCCTGACCCTGACAATCAATTCTTGTCATGGCATTGTGGTTGCTCTCCGCTATGCCTGGACCACATGGCCTTGTGAATATAAGCAGTGTCCCCTGTATCACCCCAGCAATGCCCTGCCAGCCCCTCCCTTCATTGCTTTCATTACAGACTAGGTTCCCAGTCCTCAGAGCAATGTTGCCAAATGACCGTTTCAATATGATCAGAACTTAGCTATAAGGATGGGCTCTTTAGATTTTAGCATTTAGGAGTTTCAATAATAACCGTTGCTTTTAAAGGAAATTAATAGAAAGCCTCATTGAATGGCTTCCAGCTAGCACATGGCTGTTTCTATATTCTGATGAGCCCAAGCTGGTAGGTAACTTGAAATTCTTGCTTTTTGTCCCTTAGTCAAAGGTCTGTATTGGACAAATTCTGAACTACAGACAAATTGGACCTCAGTGTCATTCACTTCCCTCATATTAATAGGAGTGAAATGTCTAATTCTTTTGCCCCCTTTTATCCAGGGTTGTGGGATCTTAGGATTGGAAGAGATTTTAAAGGCCGCATAGGCCAGCTAGTGTTCACATGTTCTTTACAAAATTTCTGACAGGTGGTTACTGAAGTCTCTGTATGAACTTTCCATTCAAAACTTTCCAAGTTTTTCCTTTTCTGCTCCAGTCTGGGCTGCTGGAGTGGATTAGTTGTGTGGAACTAAGCAGTGTGGAACTGAAGTCTTTCTCCTGTGAAACTTTATTACTATTGGGGTCTTTCAGATAATTTAAGACAGATCTATTTGTATTCTCTTCAAGCCAAAACCAGTTCTCTTCCTTCAATCTAAATAATGATAATATGAATGTTTAAGAAATAAGAAAAACATGCAGGCACTTTGGGAGGTGCTAAGGGACTGCCCTAAGGAACGAAAAGCAAGGGCCAGGTGGTAGTAACCCAGGGAAGGCACTTGGGCTGCCATAAACAGGAGAGCTGAGAAACTCTGGTTTATGAAAACATGAACACAGGGGCAACAGAGGCAAATGTGTCGTTCAAGTTAAATATAAATCTCAGACTCTTTAAAGGTAAAAGGTTTAAGGATAATCCATTTCCTCCCCTTAATGTGAAAAATGAGAACTAAAGCAAAAAGTGTCATTCACTCTACATATATAATGCATTTTACACAGTGTAAAAAATATGGTTTAAGTAGTGAATGTATTAATGAAGTCATATGTAAATTTATTTTTAGTGGCTGAATAATTTAAAACTTCATGTAGGAATTCACTAAATTTCCCCCAATTTAGGAACTTTTTACTGTTTGAAAAGGAAATTTATAATCATTTTGTAGAGTGAGTGATGGTTTTTGCTTTAGTTCTACCCCTTCGTAGATTTCCAAGGGGTTCTGGTATAGCTCCAAACAGCAGGCATAGCTTTTGTCAGTGCCAAGATTTTATTTAGTTAAGAAACAAAAAATCTATACTCTACAAGGAACTTTAGCTCCCCTGAGGACTTCCTAGCATTCAATTCATTCAATTAAAACTCCTATTGCCCATCCTTTGACCTCTCATGCATCTAGTCCCATATAAACCATGAACCTCATAACAAACAGATTGATGCCTATGAAAACGTCGATATGCCTGTCCACTCCTCCACCCCCAATACACATACCCCCATGGGCTGTTCTAATTCAGAGGAAGCTAGGGGTAGCCAAGAACTCCAGGTTTCTTTCACCTCCAGGAACTTAGAATACATACTGTGAAAAACTTGGTTTAGGTATTGAATATGTTAATGAAGTCATGTACATTTATTTTTAGTGGCTGAATAATTTAAAACATTATGTGGGAAATAACTGTATTTCCCCAAATATAAGAACTTTTTAGTTTTAAAATGGAATTTATAATCACTGTAGAAAATTTGGACATTAAAGTATAAGCAAGTAAAAATCACCCCCAAATTCATCATTCAGAGAAACACTATTTTGCTGAACCATTCGAGTTATATAATTTTATATACTACATATTACTTTGTAATATGTGTTTTTGACTTACTTTACCAAAATAATTTTCTTATGTAAACAATATAGATTTAGAGTGTTTCAATTTGGGGAAGTCTCATACTTTAACCAATTTCCTATTAATGGACATATAGATTTTTAACAATTTCTACTATTAAAATAATACTATAATGAATATCACATGCAAACATCATACCACACTTGTCCAATTATTTCTTAGGGTCCTTAATGTTGAGTGGAATAAATATGTATTTAAAATTTTGATATCTACAGTTTGACACTCCCAAAGGATTAAACAATTTACATTCTCACCAAGATAGTCCTTTTTTCCTTCACCATCGACACTGGATGTTGCCAAATTAAAAAAAATCATTGGCTGGGCACGGTGGCTCATGCCTGTATTCCCAGCACTTTGGGAGGCCAAGGTGGCTGGATCATGAGGTCAGGAGATCAAGACCATCCTGGCCAACATGGTAAAACCCCATCTCTACTAAAAATACAAAAATTAGCTGGGCATGGTAGTATGTGCCTGTAATCCCAGTTACTTGAGAGGCTGAGGCAGAGAATAGCTTGAACCAGGGAGTCAAGAGTTTGCAGTGAGCCTGAGATAGCACCACTGCACTCCCGCCTGGTGACAGAATGAGACTGTCTCAAAATAAATAAATAAATAAATAAATAAATAAATAAATAAGATGAAATAATCTGATAGATGAAAAGGTAGTTTAAGTATATTATGGTAGTGTTTTTCAGGTTTCTCAAATCAATCTATAGTAAAAACATTCTACACATATATCCATACAGGTATATGTGGCATACATATACATTATAGTTGTATATGCACTGTAGTTGAAAAAAAAGTTTCAACGTTTCTTTATGTGATACGTTCCAAAAAATCTGAATGTCTTTCTAAAATGAGGCTCTTTTAGTATGGGTATTACTCAGGCCTGTAATAGTGGGAAAATATTTGTTATATGAAAAAAGCATCTATCACTTCTGTGTAAGTGCCAGTATTCTCAATTTATGCAGAGAAAAAAAAGAAAAACACTACATTAATATTTTAAGCAATCCCCTTCCCACCCGATTTGCGATTATACAAAATTCATTAGATTGTTTCTTTTACATTGTAAAATGTATACAACTTATAAAAAGACTATACTCAAAATCATAAAATACCAGTTAATTTAGCTTCTGAGTTTACAGTGGCCAGTGTGGTGTGCTCTAAATGCTGCTGTCTGATCCCTCCCTCCGCTGGTCAGATTTATTACTATAAAATACCAGTCCCATTTGTGTTTTCCTCTATTGGCAATTATAAACAGTAGTGTATTAACCATTCAGTTCTCACCCCTCCTTCCCTATTCTTCTACCTCTGGGTCCTTTTGTTCCTCCCTTTCCAGATAGCCCTTGGTAACCTGGTGATGAGTAGCTAAGGCATCCCACAAGTAGTGATGCGCTTGTTAGGTGACACAGGGAACCTCTACCTTGATACTATTAACTGGGTCCAAAAATCCAGCTGCATGGAACATGGAATTATATTATTACATGGCTAATGAAAGGACAGGACTAAGTCTGTTAGAGAGGATGGGACCAACCCCTAATTATGTTATATGTGAATTTGTGTTATTATATGGTTTCAATGTATTGAGCTAAAAAGCATTCTCTGAGGTGTGAAACAAAGGCTTAAAGCTCCCCTTGAAGGATGTGCAAAATGTGAAGAAAAAGATGATCAGTGTACCTTGGACTAGACTTTCCATCTTGAGTTAAAGCAGATTTGACTTTGATGATACATGAAAATAAAGCAGCAGCCTGGGTTACAGAGGCTGAGACTTGATATTCCTTGAATTAGGATCAGAATCAAGAGTAGAAGTTTATCAGAATCTCCCCATCTCCCTCATTAGTCAGCTGCTGCTACAGACTTAGTGCTTTTATCTCCCCACAATTCATAAGTTAAATTCTAACCCCTAGTGTGATGGTATTGGGAGGTGGGGCCTTTGGAAGGGCAGATATCTCATGAATGGGCTTAGTTCTCTTATGAAAGGGACCCTGTGGCTGGGCGCGGTGGCGCCTGTAATCCCAGCACTTTGGGAGGCCAAGGTGGGCAGATCACAAGGTCAGATCAAGACCAGCCTGGCCAACATGGTGAATCCCCGTCTCTACTAAAAATACAAAAAAATTAGCCAGGTGTGGTGGCACATGCCTGTAATCCCAGCTACTTGGGAAGCTGAGGCAGGAGAATTGCTTGAACCTGGGAGGTAGAGGTTGCAGTAAGCCAAGATCACGCCATTGCACTCCAGCCTGGGAGACAGAGCAAGACCCTGTCTCAAAAAAAAAGTGACCCCGGAGAGCTACCTTCCCCTTCTGCCATGTGAGGACACTTCCTAAGAGCTAGGAAGTTCTAAGACTAAGAACTAGTCTAAGAACTAGGAAGTGGGCTCTCACCAGACACTGAATTTGCTGGCACCTTGACCTTGGACTTCCCAGCATCCAGAACTGTGAGAAATAAATTCATGTTATTTATAAACCACCCAGTCTGTGGTATTTGTTGTAGCAGTCTGAATAGACTAAGATAGCAGCTCTATTACTCTTGTTTATAAGGGGTTGAAGTTTACCTCAGGCAGAGCTAAGCAAAAAAGATTATATCCTGATTACAACAAGATGAAAATAAACAGAATTGACAAGAGAAATTTATTACTAAAAATAAAGCAGCTGAAGTTTTTCTCAGGGAGAACTATCACCACAGGATCCATGATGAAATATGTTAATATCTTCTTTGCTTCTGAATTGCTGCTTTCTTCCATATATCTGAAATCTTAAATTAATCATGATGAAAATGATGTGGCATCTGATCCCTTTCTGTTCAGTCTGAAGACTGAATTGGGTTACACTGTGATGGAGACTTCAAGTGCTGCAGGTGAGTATCTACCAAGGGTTCATGTGTCAGGAACACAGGCCGGTAAGAAGACACAAAGGCTGCAGGCTGAAGCTCCGGGAGGTCCAAGGATCCTGGATAAAACAATTCCTTAAGTTTCAGTGCTGCTTGGGAGTCTGAGGAGACTGTTTTGGTCACACATATACATGTCCTTTCTATCAATTCCTCAACACCCTTGCATCTGTCAGCTCAATTTTGCCTTTGTTAGGATAGGAAAGATACTCTAACAATGAAAACTGAAACACATTAAGTGGGTTATATAATATAGTAGGCAAAGAGTGAGGATTTCAATTCCATTTTTTAACCCAGAGTTTTCCCTATATGACCCCAAAGCCTGAACCCCTGATCACTCATTTGTGGGAGGAATTCATGGAACACAGGCAGGGCCAAGGCTCTGACTTTACTTGAATGTTATTCCCTGAACAGTAAACCTTCCCCTGTTCTGCTCTGGTCTTGCTTAGGTTACAGAATGAGATAACCTTACTTTCTGGGGCACCCTGCCTTAATATGATCGCAGGTGCTCCCTGTGACATCTGTGAGTAACCTAGGAAGCTATGCAGGCCACAGGTTCCCATCTGACTCAGCACTCTGCAAGGCTGATTCAGTGAAAGCTTTTATCACTCAATGCCTAGATATTTAGGGTAACTCAGCTATGTGTGAAGATGGGAAGGTAGCCTAAACACAGTCAATTCTCAAACAAGAGGGGTAAAGTTAAAGATACCTGGCAGAAGGGGATCATTCTGATCTTCATTAAAGGTGTGTCTCTGAAAGGCTTCAAAGCTCATAGCTGCATCATTCTCTGGCAGCCCCTCGGGTAGCTGCCCATCTCCAGGTTTGCACACATCAAATTTCACCCACTGGTAACTGTGGAGTCAAAGGAAATCACTCTTGGGAGTTATCTGCTAGCCATAAATAGCCATTCCTACCTCCAAAGGGATCAGGTATTTTTTCTTTATATTCCTCCCATATATATCTAAAACATATATTAGCTAACAAAAATCTAAAAGCAGGCCTCTGTAGTGACAAATTATTCTGCTAGATTTCCCACCTCTTTTGCTGTCATGGTATACACAGAAAATAGTAATAAACAAGAGAAACAGTAGGGTGTCCTGGCTCTTGCTCACCTGACCAGAGGGCTAAGAGGGCCAATACTGAGCCATACTGGTCAAGAAGCAAGCAGGCTCTGGACAAAGAAGCTCAGTGAACAAAGTAGTAACTGTCAGTCCCTGCCTGGCTGATCACGGAGCTTTTCTCAAGGGAATGAATTTGACCACACTTACTTCATGCATTTTCGAGCTCCTGGGCAACTCTGGATCAGGTTGTGGATGGCTGGATGAGAAAACCCAAAAAAGTCAGCTCCAGCTGGAAGCAGGTTAGGCATTAGTTTCCCCCTAAACAGGAGAGGCATAATTTTAGTTTGAGAGCTTAGAGGGAGATGAAGATGGGTTTAAGAACAGAATAGTGGTATGAACACATAGGAGAAGGCTCTAGTTAGTACGATGTCAGGAGAATCCAGGATAAGTTTCTATAAAATAAGGGATCTCCACTCATTAAAAGCAAGAGTAAGGGTTTCACTGTACCAGCAGTGATCTTTTAGCCTGTTTTCAAGCTTTTGGTCAACTTACATAGTAGCACTTAAAGTCTTGAGCAATTCTGCATGGCAAGCATCTGCAGAAGAGCCGACGATGGGATTCTGGGGGTCATCTTCGGGAACAATTTCAAACTGAGAAAGATAAACGAACAATGAGATCAATCCTCAAGAAGGAAGGAGAGAGCAGCATACTACTCCTGTACATATTTCTTTACTCTGGAGCTTGAAACTGATGTATAGGATCCTCAAAAGGGACACAAATACTTTCCTATAGGGCTGCTAAAAATTGAAAAAAATCCAAGTCCATAGAGAAAGTCCTTTGACTGTTTCAGTTCTACCCTTCCTGGTTGACAGCTTTCCAAAGGTGAGCATTTAATTTGTTACATACCTTTCCAATCCACTTATATCCTTAAGTACAAATACAAATGATATTTTAAAAACAAATGAGATTACTCTCCATGTAATCTTGTCAGTTTTATGAGATCTAGAAAAACAGGACTGACTGCAAACTGCCATTTCATTGTATTTGCTTTGAGTGTTAAAAGATCTTGAATGTGTTTATGTGGCCAGTTTTCTATAAAGTTCAATGATATTTTTGCCAGGAAAATATTTCTGTAACAAGTTCTACCTAGCCAATTAAATTCCTTGACTAGTTATAAAGTTCAGTTAAACAGTTTCTAATTCTTCAAAGTTTACTTCATTCAAATTATCCTGAACGATATTAATTTATTTTCTGTATAATTTTTTAGAATATTGAACATTACTGATTTCTAAAAAAATTAAGCAAATTTTACTAAGTATAGATTCTATTAGTTAGTTTTCTTCTGTGGTTACTATTTCACTGGATTAAATTTACTGTGTCAAATTTTAGAGATCTGTCAATTGTATAAGTAATAAATTCTCCTGTGAGTAGGTTTAGTCAATGGTGGTTTTCTTATTTCAACCAATGGAGTATCTTGCCAGGTTAAGATTCTAATGTTTTATATTTATTTCTCAGCTAATTAATGAAAACACTGCAAGCAATTAATTTCAAGTAGTCCAGGACTGCTCTACTATTTAGTATCCATCATGTCCATTCCTATTACTGTTTTGTATTGAAATTTTTACCCTACTTGGGTAAGGAGCATTAAGGGTAGAAATGTTACACTTTAGTCTTAAAGGTAATTCCTTGTTAGTACTAATGTGTAAATCTACCTCATTCTTTCAATTGCTATACATACAAGGATGGATATATTTTACTTAACCATTTTCTGGTTGATGGGTATTTAGGCTATTTCTGATTTCCTGCTATTGCAAATACTGCTACAATGCACACTGTTACGTTACTTTGTTCACATTTGCACATTTCTCTAGGTGCAAATGTGTACCTAGTGCAGTCTAGGTACCAGACTATCTAGACATATTCTGGGTCAAATGATATACATATTAAACTTGTTGATACTGCCAACCTGCCCTCCCAAAAGACTACCAATTTTCACTCCTACTAACATGTACTTGTTTTCCTCCACCCCAGCCAGCACTGGATATTATTAATCCCTCTGATCGGTGCCTATGAGCAAAAGAAGATCAAATAAGATTATCATTTTTGTTTTATTTGCATTTTCTCACTTACTGATGAGGCAGGCCCACTCTTTACCATCTGTACTACTTCTGTGAAATGCCCTGTGGGTTTTTTTGTTGTTGTCGTTTTGTTTTTTAAATATTGCTTTTTCTTACTCTACGGGAGCACTTTATCTAGTAGTAATCCTTTGACATATGTTTTCTTCCTGTTTATTGCTTGTGTTTTAACTCTGATCATGGTGCCTTTTGCCATTCAAAAGTGTTTACTATTTTTAATAGTTAAGTATGTTATTATTTTCCATTATGGCTTCTAAATTTCATGTCTTGCTAAAGAAAGCCTTTCATCTCACCCTAAGAGTATAAGAAATTCTTTTACATTTTCCTTTAACATATTTGTAGAATAAAATATTCAACAAAGCTAAAGTAATAAAAAGTCATATTGCCACTTATAGACAAATATATCAATAAAATGGAATCATCTGTAAACAGATACAAGCATTACATATATTTACTGGGGGTGTGTGTGTATATATATATATACACACACACATATATATATATATATACATACACATATACACACACACACACACATTCAGCCACCTGACGTTAGTTGGAACAAAATTTCAAGCTAGATTCCTAGCTCACAAACCTAAAAATAATGTCCAGTTAGGTTAATGAGCTAAAAAACTAAAAACACAACAGATTCTTCTTTTTCAAAAATGTTTTAGCATTTTGTTTTTCATTGGAAATTAAGAATTGACTCATCAATTTTGATTAGGATTTTCATTAAATTTGCATTGCATTTATAGATCTATTATAAATATGGTATACCATTAAAATAATGAGTCTTTCTAAAGACACTGTTGCATAATTAAGGCCATATGAGCTTTCAACTATGCCTAACAGTGCTCTGATACGCGTGATGCAGTATTATCTACAAGAGTCAAGCAGTCTCAGGGTTCTCCCAGCTTCTGCTGAATGATTCCTTGCCTTGCCTCTACTTCCTTCCACCTTACTCTCTAGTGATCTGTAACTTCCTCAGTGAAGTTTAGAACTCTGAAAATGGATGATGGTTGGGGAAAATGAACTGTCTCAAATCTTAGCACTGAGAATGATGAAAAAAGTACTTAGTAAGACTAGGATTTAAGACTCTCAGGTCTTTAAGAGTATGTATGGCCAGAAACTAATACACAGTTTCTTTGCCAACTCCATTTTGGTCCAACTTGAAATGGCAGTGTATCAAACCATACCTTCCCTGTATTTTGGCCTGTACTTCACATAAGTAGGCTTGATCAAGGCTTACCTAGTCACAAAGTCAGCAGTTGAAGTAGCATGGTTCAAGAGAAAAGACCCTCGGTTTGAGAATTAAGACAGATAACAGACTCACATCCAAGCTCAACCACTTATTAGCAGAGGTGTGACTTAGGGCCACTCACTTTTCTGCATCTTGGGATTACCTAAATGGTGATTATATGTATCTACCTTGTAAGGTATAAGAACAGGTAACACATATTAAGTGCCTAGCACAAAGAAGGTTCTAAAGACAAACAGTGGTTATTAGACGGGGGTACCTGAGGCTGCACACCACCATCCTTTATCTGACAGGTATATAGACACTTCTGGTCTGGGCACTTCATGCTGGCATATATTCGAGTACTGCAGTAGCCCACGGGGTAGATGGCACTCTCATCATGAAAGCCAGGTCGGTCGGTGATGATCTATAAAAAACATTCCCCCAACCTAGGATTGAGGTCACTGAAGAATTTAGAAGTCCAGTTTCTGTGGTAGCCTTTAGAACCACTTTGGGGCTGCAAAGAGTGACAAATCACAGAGACAGAGAGTAGGCTATGTAGCAGACAACACTGACCTGGTTTTGCAAGGACTGGAGATATTCTGGGGTTGGTATAAATCAGCAAGGGGCTGCTGCTAATGGGAACAGGGAGGGAAGGCTCAACCCCATTCCCACATTTCTCTGATTCTCCTCTCTATATATCGCTGGTCTCACTCACCTCCCCCAGGCTATATACTGTTAGACCCCCTAGTCCGATGGGGAACACAGGCCGTCCTGAGGGATCCAGGGCAATGGGCTGAACCAGCTTGCGAGCACCTCCCTCCATTTTCTTTTTCTTGCATGTTTTCTTCAGAACTGAAACGCAAATCTGGGGTCACCCACTTTAGGCCCATCCCAATGTTGAAGGGAAGGGAAAAATTTGCATGTGAATAGGTAAGGGCAATAAGCCAATCCTGATTTTACATACTTAGGGAATGGGCATGTGGGGCATTCCCCCAAAGCGCTGAGTAGCTTTCTAACCTGCCCATATTAGTGTTTAGGAGCTAAAAGCCTTATACATTTTAAGGCCTCTTATTTTATTTGTAAGATCAGAAATTTCCCAAACCAGCAGTGTGCTCAAAAGGCCACCTAGCCCATTTCCCTGCCTCCAGGAAAGACTAAATGGAATGCAACCCAGAGAGCTGGGGAAAGGAGGAAGTCCATCTGCTCCCTTTGCATTTAAGGAAGTCTAGCCAGAATTTCTCCACCCAAAGTGGCTCTAATACATTTGTTTTTTAAGGGCTATTAGGGTTCCTTAACTGGATGAGACTCTTAAGTATATCTGTATCCGTATGTGTCTGTCAGTTAGTACCAGGTCTGTCATTAGTAGGTGAGTCACTGGGGCAACTGGTATCATCTCCCCAAAGTACCTTCCAGTTTGTTGTTCTCTTTGCCTTTTTCCTTTTTCTCCTTCTTGGATTTCTTCCCAAATGGTTCCTCAGCCCCAGTGCTGGGCCCGGAAATAGGCCCAGCTCCCTGTATAGTTCCCACAGAGCTGGCCACACTGTAAGTCAGGGGCAAACTGGAGCTGTGGGAGGGAGCTGCAGTCTGCACTTCCCCTTCAGTTAGAGCCTGAAGCTGGAGGAGCTTCTTTAGCAAGTACCTGAGGTCAGAAAGGAAAAGGAGCAGAGGAATGAACTTCTGTATCATCTAAATTCAGTATTTTACTCAGGTACTGGGAAAAGCCAGTATTGTATATAAGATTACTACACTCATAAAAATAAGGTTCTTAATTGGACCCTGTGAATCAACCATAAAGCCCTAGAGGATAATGAATACTTCAAGAAGCCACAGATAGAATAAGAACTGTAGCTTATTTCTTGCATCTGGATGGTTTCTCTACCTTGATGTTGGACGGTGTTAGAAGCCTAAAAAGGCACATGATTTACAGATGTATACATACCCATTTTGCTTTGCACAGAATAGTATGTACAGAATAACTATTTGTAGAATGAGAGGCAGTTGCTTTTATCATTTAGATTTTATAATTGGGGGGTTTAAATAAGATTATTTACTAGTTGTGGCAAGATGGCTTTTTCAGAAAGATGAGTAGAGGAGCTGTCGCATCACCATGGCCCAACATAACTTGGGTGTGCAGGAGCCAATGCCACACGTTGTAAGTTTCTCTGTATTTGATCAAGTGGCCAAGGGGCTATGCGGTGCATATAAATCCCAGTGGGAAGAAAAATCTCCAGAGCAGTAACATCATTATCAAGCTCCAAAAATGTGATGCTGAACACAAAATGAAGCCAGCTCACCTTCTTTCTTCTTTTGCTTTAAGAAATTTTTCCTCAAGACGAGCAATTTCATCACAAATAGCAGCATTTTCCTTTAAGTAAAATTTTGAATACAATCATATAAAATGAATAAACAATCATATTAATATGCTGGGAAGAGAATCTATATTTCAAATCAAAAACCTTGTATTGCTGAGTGAGAAGGAAGAGCTATTCTAACTTGTGACAAGCTATAAATAGATCCATAGATAAAGGTAGTCAGGTTCTACTATGGGCAGGGTAACTATTTAATTTATTATCCAATCTGGGACACCTCTGAGTGAAAAGGGGGTGCTATTAATGCTTATGCCAGAACAATATGGTAAACCAAGGCTGTCATGGGCAAGCCAAGATTAATGGTCACCCTAATTAGTATAGCGTTTGGTAGACAAAAAGGCATACTGCTTAAATCCATAGATGTTTAAATTCAATACTATAAAAATGAAGACTATTTCCAAGTGCCTCAACTCCTGAGAAACTTAGAAAGTCTATCTAACCCAAATAGAGAAATACTTATATGGATTCAAGTATCTTTTTTTCTTTTTTCTTTTTTTAACTGATGACTCAATCTATCTCCCAAGCACCAATCCTGAAGGGAATGCTGAATCTGAATGCTCCATAGGTGGAACCTCAAACTCTCCAAGGTTCAAAACAACATCCCTTTTTTTCACATAATCTTCTTCATGTATTTGATGGAACCAACATCCTGGAAATAACATAAATTCCAAGCTTTAGCTACCTTTGACGTATAGGGGATAAAAGAAAGGGAACAGTCAATCAGAAGCCAAGTCCTCTTAGTTCTACTTTTCTTGTTCCTCTCCAGTGCAAATAGCAAGCAATGCACATAGCAAGTGCTGAATAAGTGTTTTTGGAACATATGTTCTAATTTCTGAACCTTTCCTGATGCTTCCAAAAATGCTGAGAGACGTTTGAGCTTTTGGTAAAGAGAAGAGATAAACTGTTGACTTGGATGTGGGAGGACATTTGAGGACTCCACCTCTATTTCCAAGCACTGAGGCAAGCCAAAATATTCTAATATAAAGTTATGGCTGGCAAGATATATTAAGTTTACTCATTCAATAAAACCAGTGCTTCTACAATAAAAGGAAGAAACACTTGGAACACTCAAAGCTTAGAGGGGGGGAAATTATTGAAAGTTTCATGTATGTGTTTGGGCAAGGGGTCAGTTATGGGCAAGTGAGGTGCTCAGAAAATAGGTTGTGTAATGGAAATTATTAAAATAGAATCACGGCATCTAAGTCGGAGTCAGGGCTCTGACACACTACCCTTGGGCAAATCATCTCTTTGGGCTTCAGTGTTCTCATTTTAAAAATAATGCCTAATTCTAAGGGCTGTATATCTCGAGAATCAAACACATTTCCTAGAGTTTTGCAGTAATGACGATGACTAAAATTTATTGGCATATCTTCTAGGCACCAAGCACTTTTCTGTGCTCATTTAATCTTCAATATTCTGCAAGGTAGTTATTACCTCATTTACAGATTAGGACACAGAGAAATTACGTAATTTGTCGAAGGACACAAGGCTAACAAGTAGTAATGTATACAGAAAAGCCAACACTATATTAATACTGTCACCCTGGGAAGAGGGGGAACGCTTGGAGAAAGACTTCGTGAGGGGGTCTCCAGGCGGAGACCGGCTGGACGCGGGTCAGACTCACAAACACCGTGGCCTTGGCCGCTTTGCGCAGCCGCAGGTATTTCAGCCGGTACTTCTCGTTCTGGCTCTTCTTCGGAAGCTTTTTCATCCTGGCCTTGCTGGACTGCAGCTGGGCCCGCGGCGAAGAGGCGAGGCCGTCCAGCAGGCTCATGGTCCAGCCCCGCTACGGGGGCCCCAGGACGCGGCCGGCATCGGATCCTAGGTCAGGGAGCAGGCAGGAGCGCTGGCTTCGTTTGTTCGGAGCTACTGAAATCGGGTCTCTAGGAATCCAGCTCTCCGAGATGTTCCCAGGGCTGACCGCAGAGCCAGAGACCCTAGCAACCTACCCGGCTCCCGGATCCTCTCAGCACTTCCGTGTCTGTCTCGGAAGTAAGCCGTTCCCGGAAGTTACGTCACGGTGCCGGCGGCGTGTAACTTCCGGGGCAGGGAGAGTAGGTGGTCTGGGCGGTGCAATCCCTGGCCAACTCGGAAGAAAGAGAGGGCTGGGGGCGAGTGCGGGATGCGGAGAGGAGGGATGGCGCATGGCCGGAATCGGAATCCGGGCATAGGGCGTCTTTGTGCTTAGCTGAAGGATACTACTGTTGAACTAACTCGCGGACAAACAAAAAGCTTACCGACGCGAGCTTTCCTTCACGCACCCCCGCAGTGCCACCGCATTTCAACACGTTTTTCGTGCGTCGTGCAGACAGGCTTTCCCAGACTATAGAACAAAGGGAACGCAAGTGCTGGGACGCTGCTTCCTTCCCTGCCTCCCTCCTTTATGCAGCTCACAGAAATGTGTTTGCAGGGCCTTCTAATGCTATGATCTTCCTAGGAGCTGGGAACACGGTAGTGAATAGGAAGAAAGGCCCTGGCTCTTTCTAGTAGGGAAGATGAAAGATTTAATATGCAGTTTTAATGCTAGCACTAAGTAGGCACTCAGTAAATGTTTGCCTACTGAAGCTAGAAGTGTATTTCTGTACATAATATGTACATTTATGTGGTTCTAACTTTATAACCAAGGTCTATTTAAAATTAAGGAGGACAGACAAATCTTTATGGTGCGATATTGGTAAATGACCCAGGCCAGACGGCAGAAGGCTTGCATCTTCTTCCAGCGATGGCAATACCTAGTTTAGTAACGTTTTTTCTCTCTAAACTGGATATAGTCTTTGGATTCTGAAGTTTGTAATAGTGGAGGTGAATGGGATTTCTACATTGTAAAGTACTCTGTTGATACATAATGACTTACATTTTCAAAATGTAGACTTCTTGGTTTTTTTTTTTTTTTTTTTTTTTTTTTTTCAGACAGTCTGGCTCTGCCACCCAGGCTGGAGTGCAATGGCGCGATCTCGGCTCACTTCAGCCTCTGCCTCGTGGATTCAAGCGATTCTCCTGCCTCAGTCTCCCGAGTAGCTGGGGTTACAGACGCCCGCTTCCATGCCTCGCTACTTTTTGTATCTTTAGGAGAAATGTGGTTTTACCATGTTGGCCAGGCTGGTCTCCAACTCCTGACCTCACATAATCTACCTGCCTTGTATTACAGGGTGAGCCACCGTAACCAGCTCAAAGTGTAGACTTTTAGAAGTGTAGAAATTCAGGAAATATGTTACATAGTTAATAAGTTCACTACTGGAGAAAAATCTAACACTATAATACGTATAGTCAGAATAAAAAACAGGTTTAGAAGTGATGACCCAGGTACTTAATTTCTGAAAATAGTAAAAGCAGTGACAGGGTCTTGGCAAAATCGGTTTAATACAGAGGAAAGCTTATGCAATTCTTTATATGATCATCCCTATTGTAAACTGCTCTTGTTGGACCTGAGTGAGTTTTTAATAAAGCAGTTCTTCAAGGTGCCAGTGTTTCGCAAACATACTTAAGGCAGCCATCTCTATTCAGTTTTGGAAAATACCAGGATTATTTTTAGCTCATAAAATACCCACATTAAGGCCTTTGATAACATAGACTGGTGCTTTACCTTGGAACCTGAAAATCATCCCAGTAATAGGAAGAGACTTTTCTTTCTTTTCCTTTAAAAAAAAATTCTTGTTTGTTAATTGCATGATTTATTTGCTGTCATGCTGTATTTTGTCCTTGCAGGCTTTGGGGTCTGACTTTATTTGTATTATTTATGTTCATATACGTGTATCACATCTAGTGGGAAGAAAAGTGCTATCCTTTGTCCTAGTTTGCAGGCTGTTCTGGCCAATGGACTTCAGTGGAATTTGTATGAAAATATTTTTTGTTTCTTCTTCATTGGAAGGATTTCCTAACACTTACAAAGCGTTTCATTCGAACTTTAGAAATTTAGAAAATATAGTACAAGAAAGGTTTAAAAAATCCATAATATTACCATTTGAAATGAACTACTTTTAACATTTTAGTATGTGTCTAATATTATATACATTTTTATATAGATTAGAGAATACTGAAAATAAAGTTTCCTTTTTGTTCATTGACCATTATGTCATTTCAATTTTACAAGTGTTACTATAGCTTCTTTTTAAGCATAATTTAAAGTAGCTGGTTAATATTCCAGTTATGGCTGTATTATATTTTGCATAATTACTTCCATGTTCTTTGGCTTTTTGGTCAATTCCATTAAAAACACATCTTTGCGTATAAAGCTTTTTCCATGTAGGACTGTTTAGAGGCTGGATCCCTGTGCTCCAAAAAGGTGATGCCACTGAGCAACTCATTCCTTGTATGTGTAGAAGAATATTTACTTAGTGCCAATTATGATACCAACTTATTTTATTTTATTTTTTTTTTTGAGACGGAGTTTTGCTCTTGTTACCCAGGCTGGAGTGCAATGGTGTGATCTCAGCTCACCGCAACCTCCACCTCCTGGGTTCAGGCAATTTTCCTGCCTCAGCCTCCTGAGTAGCTGGGATTACAGGCACATGCCACCATGCCCAGCTAATGTTTTGTTTTTTTTTAGTAGAGACGGGGTTTCACTATGTTGGCCAGGATGGTCTCGATCTCTTGACCTTGTGATCCACCCACCTTTAAGAACCTTAGTTTAAGAGGGAAAGACAGAGAAGTAAATTGGCTATGTTAATATGGTATAATAAGTTTATTTCATAGGTTTTATTTGATTTGGCAGCACCCAGTCAGGGAAGGACGGAGGAGATAGGAAAGGTTTCTTAAAGGAGATATATCTGGGCAGACTCTGAAGGAATGGTAATAGTTGGCTGGCCCAGTGAAGAACAAAGGAGGGCATGCTGGGTGGTAGAGACAGCATATTCAAAGGCTCAGCATTGTGAGAAGCATGGGAAGTGCAAGTAGTTGATCAGTGTGGAAGATGTGTGTAGAGAGAAGCAAGAGGGGAGACTGAAGCAGTAAGTAGGGTTTGGGTCATGGAAAGTCTTGTGTACCAACTGAAGAGTTGGACTTGAACCCAGTGACAATAGGAAACCATTGATAAATGTCTTTGCTTGTTTTAGGTAAACTTACCTGAATTTGTCAGAAGCAACGTAACTTTAACTTTTCTACTTAACTTTATGAAGAAGGGTGTAAATGGCCTATGCAAAAATTCTCTAATGAAATACATAATATGCAGCCCTAAAAAGAAATATAAAATGGCAGACAGCATGATAATTGTGTCTGAGTGTCATCTTTGAAGTCAGATCAAAGTTCCATTAACTACAGGTTTAGGAATAGGAGTTAGAAGCTAAAATGGGGTGATAAATCAGGAAAGAAGTTCAATAGCACTTTACTGTCTACCCATTTCTAAGTGCTTGCTATGCAGTGATTGGCTATAAGGGAAGGCATAGCATCCTCTGGAGTATTAAAAGCATCCCTGGCCCCATTAACAGCTGTGAAGGAGTCCATAGCCCATAATCACAGCCCCTGGTGAAATGAGTTCCTGGTTTAGATGGTGAAAGTGTATGGATATCTGAAGGTTCCACTCATGGCTGAGACATGGCCCTGGCCTTTTTCTACTATGTCCTAACATCCCAAGAGCAGATTACAAATTGAAGCCATCATCTCCCAGTGCACTTTGGAGGCTACAGAGGACTTGGGCAAGGTTGATAACTTCCATGGAGTAAGCTGGGTAAATTTCTAGGATTTCAGGCCACACCAGAGGGTTTCCAGGGGTTTACATCTTTATTAATGTCTTGACAGCTTGCCTCACTTGCTCTCTGGGATAAGCGGAATGTACATCGTAGCAGGATTATGGAATTGCCTCCATAAATGGCCTTTAGAATCTTCTTTCCTTGCAGCATGTCTAGACTTTATTTCTTTTTATTTATACTATTGTCATAGAATGTTCTAGATTTAATTTTTTTTATCTCTTTGACTCTTCGGCTCCAGCTTTCACATTTATTTCCGTGTCTTGATTATGTCTTCTTACTTTTAGGATAACATGATAAAAGATATTCAGTTAGATCCAAACTTAGCAATTCTAAAGTGCATTGTGTGTGTGTGTGTGTGTGTGTGTGTGTGTATTAGTATGCATGTATTATGAAGAAGGAGAGAGAATTTCCACAAAATTTCTTGCTCCAAGGAGAGAGAATTTCCACAAAATTTCTTGCTTAAAAATTTCTGGCTTTTTAACTATGAGTGTTCATCACATGCCGGGTGGGTGAGGTGTTTGGGTTTTGAGGGTTCTAAGCCAGCCAATAAAGTCATAAAATCAACAACTGTGTCAATATTGTGCTTCTGAGTGGTTGTTTCCTTTAACACACATAAGACACTCAGCCAGCTAAAAGAGATGAGCTCAGAGATGTTAGCTCGGAGGAAAAGAAGGATCACATTGAGGTCATTGATGGGACATCCTAGCATCTTTCTGCTGAGGAGATCAAAAGCTGGGAGCATCTCATAGACAGATAAGAGTCGTTTGTCCCACCGGCATAGGCGTGTGAGGTTGTATATTATCACTGGAACCAATATGGTGTAGATTGCTATGCTGGAGAGGCTAACAATCTGGAAAACGGACAGCAATGTCAGCCTGCACGTGATTAAATTGGGGGCATGGGTCTCATCACTTAGCAGCCCTGTCTTGATGGAGCAGCTGAATTCTTCCTGGAAGAAGATATCCAGATGGAAATGACCAAGGTATAGGTAAGTGGCAGCAGTGAAGAGGAGAAATAGGGAGTTCCTCAGAAGGTAGGTAGCCACTAGTGAATGTGAACGCTGCTTACATGCCAGGTACCGCTCTAGCAAAGGGAATTCAAAGTATCGTTCTTTCCGAGCCCTGGGCAGTGGAAGAAAGGAGGCAAGGTTAGTAGTGACCATTTAGAACCATACTCCAAGAGAGCCATGTGACAAAGCAACAGATCTGTGTTTTCAACATGGCATTCTTGGCTCCCATGAAAATCTGCCTTCCCGGAGCATAACCATACTTTTCCCCAAAACGGAGGCATGTGAGTATATCCTGATTCTCCAAGTTCTAACTGCAATG